CGCTTCTACACCTGGAGTCCTGCCCTGAACCGTCAAAGGCAGACTCTTCAAGGAGGCCGGCCTCCAACAGGAAGCGCTGTTTCTAGGGGAGTTGAGTCCCTGAAGAAAGTCGCTGGCCTCTAGCCAGGTCCAGTGGGCTACTTCAGCTTGTTTCAGCTACCCGTGACCGTCAGTAGTGCCACCACAGAGCTCTAGCCAGAGCCTCTAGAGGCGGCCACTGAGGGTGTTAGTGTGAAGCCACCCACGCCTGCCAGGAGCCTGGTGTCTTCACACCCACACCACACACATGCACAACCCACACTACACACATGCATGCAAGCCACACATATGCCACATGAACACCCCACACCACACACGTGCACACCCTACACCACACACATGCACAGCCCACACCACACACATGCACACCACATACCACATACATGCACACCACACGTGCTGCATGCACACCACACATGCGCACAAGCCACCCACGTGTGCACATACCACATGCACACACACACAGAGCTTTCCTTGAAGGGAAGGTCTTCCCTTTGCGTTCTGCTCACTGCCTGGCTCCCAGTAGCACACCCATTGAGCTGGGGACAAGGGTCACTCCTAGGTGACAGAGTGGGAATGGCTCTGGGAATGGCCGAGGTTCCATGAGTGCCCTGTGGGAGGTGTGATCCTCGAGGTCAGGACGCAGGCTCAGTGCCAGGCAGAGTGTGGTGCCTGGCAGGCGGCCCACGGGCATGAAGCAAGACGTGGGACGACAGTGCCAAGGACAAGGCTCGCCCAGGTGGCGAGGCCCAGGAGCCCCTGGCCAGTGAGGTCTGTGGACGCTGTGGAAGGCGGGGCCTGGGTGGGCCAGTGCAAGCTCCCTCCAGTGTGCAGCCAGGAGGCTGCATGGGGACAGGGCTGTGGGGAAGCGGGAGGAGGTAGTCCCACGGGAGCTCCCTTCCCGAGGCCCCGGGGCAGAGATGGGCACCACCTGCATGTTCTTGACCATCACTGGGGTCGTCATTGCAATGCCACTGGCAGCCTTGCCCCCCAGGGCATCTCTAGCCCTGTCTCCTACAGGCATCAGTGGGCTGAAGGCCAGCCATGACAGCAGCGTGGCCACTCTGGCAACCAGCCCCCAGAGGCTCCATCCACCAGACCTCACGAGCCGACCCAAAGCCACCAAAGCTCTGGAAATCCCAGGTGCTTAAGGGCTCTGAGGCCAGGAACTCGGGATTAGGGCAAAGACCACAGGGCGGTGTCCCTTGACCCCCACTCAGGAGCTTGGTGCCAGGAGCTGGGGGCAGAGCAGATATGGACTCCAACTGTTGCACCCGCACCTCAGCCCACAGCTCCCTCCTGGGCCTCACAGCTGGCTGCCAAGTGTCCACTGCTTCTCCTTGGGACTCCTCAGAAGCCTGAGCCAGGCCTGCTTCGTTCCATTTCTTCCCCTGGTGGCGCTGACCCCTGCTGGCCAGTCCAAGGGCATCTGTGGCCCACAGCTGCCAGCCTTCCTCTGTCCCTGGCAACTTTCCTGGGTGTCCACTCAGCTCCCCAGAACTGTGGCCTCTGTGCCAGTGGGTGACATCTAGTTCACACACAGTGGGCATTTGCACCCGGTGTCCCCAGCTGTCCCGTGCCTCTTTATCGGAATCACACAGCTCTCCCCTTGAGAGCCCTTTAGTGTCCAAGCCCACCATCTGCACCCACAGGGTGGATGGCCAGGCTGGACCTGAGAGCACTTTGGGCCTTTTGATCTGGCCACACGTTGCCGGTGTCTATCAGCCCCCAGCTCTGTCCTTGCCCTCATCCCTTTCTAGCATGACCTTGGCCCCTGGGGACTGAGTCAGGAGGCTTGATGGTGGGCCTCAGGCTCACAGCCTAACTGAAGGGCAAGAGGGCCCCAGCTCTGGTGAACTTGGGTCAATGTGTAACTGGACGCTGCACCAGCCCATCTGCTCAGCTGAGGGGCCACATTGATTGCCAGAACTTCCTGGAAGAGGTCCCAGAGCGGCTAGTCCTGGCCAAACCTGCAGCCCCCTCCCTGGTCCTCCCCCACTTGTGTACAGAGCGGCCTGGGAACGGCTCCACCCCACTCTTGGGTATAAAGAGGGCCTTGGTGGCCGGCCAGGGCAAAGCTGCGCTGGTCCAGGGCTGACGCAGGAGGTAAGTGGAGACCTCAGCTGTCCCTGGCTACAGCTGAGCTGTGGGCTGGGCGAGGTGGCCAGGGGCAGAGCTGCTGGAGGGGCTGTTCTCATTCATCTGGGATCAAGAATGAGGATTTGTGGCGGCCATGCTTCACAGGGGATGTGCCACCTGCAAGTCCAGACACTGAGATGAGGCCGTCCTCCCCAGCCACCACCTGGGCTCCGGAACGGCTTCTCCCTAGCTGCAAGCCAGGATCACCCCTGGCTCCTACTTCCTCTGGTGACCTGGGGCTCCAATAGTCCATTGGGTCTCTTCCCATCTGAGGGGACAGCAGGCTTCATGTACAGGCAGCGACAGGGAAGGGCTTGGTCTCAGGGCCCCGCAAGGCTCAGGGTGTGCCACCTGCATGACCCTTAAGCAGAGTGTCTCTCTGGTCCTGGGGTCGAGGTCTGGGTCAGTGCAACCTGCTCACCATTCTGTCCCTGAACCTACATAAAGCCAGACTCCTGACAACACTGGCTTTCAGGCTGGGCCCACAGGGACAGAGCCTGGCCATGCGGAAGTGCTTCCTGCTCCTGTAGGTGGCGAAGGCGGGCCCTGGTGTTCCTCAAGAGGCAATGTAGTTGGGCCTCGGTGCCGCCTGCTGTGCCCCAGGATCTGGCTGAGTCCTGGTTCTGTCTCCTACTGGCTGTGGGCCCTGGAGCAAGCCCCTGGACCTCTCTGTCCCTTGCAACATGGCACTGATGACTTCACCCAGCTGCCTGTTTGGGGCCACCTTGGGAATGAGGCGGAAACGGCTCTTGTGGGGCTATCTTCACGTGGGAGGAGACAGACAAACCCACACCTCCGAACAACAGAGCAGATAGTGCTTCCAGGCAGCAGGTGAGAAGAGCGTGTCCAGGCAGCCTCTGGAAGGCCAGGGTGGCCGAGACTAGCTGGCTGGACAGTGGAGACGCCACCAGCCAGGATGGCAATGTACAAGTGTGCTGCCACCTTCAGGGGGAAAGGCTGGGCAGGGAAAGGCTGGGAAGGACGGCTACCCCCCTTGCTGGTCCCCAGTCCCTGCTGAGAGTGAATTCAGGGCCACCATGCTGCCCCAAGAGGAGCAGTCTGCAGGAGTGGCAGGTGGGAGGGCTGTGCTCCCCACGTCTCCAAGCCCACATGGCGCCCCATGAGACCAGCAGGGGCCTGGCTACACAGGAGGTCCGGGGTGGGGGCAGAGGCCCTGCCCTTTTGTCCACTGCATGTGGCTTTAATGAGAAGAGTGAACTGGGTAGGATGCATGGGGAGGAGGGGGAGGAGGCGCCAGGTCAAAAGTCAAAGGTCTTTTTTAAAAACTGTTTTTAAAAAGGTCGTTGGCAGTAGGTGAACCGAGCAGGACCGGACACGGGGAGGCCTCGGTGTCCTGGGGGCGTGGAGGCCAGGCAGGTGCCGGCAGCTGTGCCTCACCGGGAGATTATGAGATAGTCAACTGTGACGAGAACAGTTTCATTTTGGCTCAGATTTGGAATTTCCAGCCCAGGATAGGACAGACCTATGATGTGGTGCCATGGAGGGCCAACGAGGCCACTCCTCCAAAGGGCTCCACCTCCCAGCAACACTGCCCTGGGGCCAGGCCTTGGGGGTGTTAATCCAGGCCCACAGAGTAAGGCGCAGATAGCTCACTGGCAAGGCCCATGAACCCAGGGCCAGATGGGCAGGGGCAGGGAAGGCCAGGCTGGGACCAGGGCACAGCAAGGTGGGCAGGATGGCCTCAGGTGACAGGGCAATGTAGCAGGCTCCCTGCAAGCATCAAGTGAGATGCCACACGTCTTGACCTGAGCCACCAGCAGGACGAGCTCCCTCCCCTTAACCCAGAGGAGCAGACAGCGTGGAGGGCCGGGCAGCCCAGCTGCCTTCCCCTGCCCACCCCAGGCAGTTCCATCCCTGGCCAGCTCCACCTCTGGCCAGCTCCATCCTTGTCTGTCCAGCTGAGGCTGGAGCTGTCTCGGCACTGAAGGTCAGGCCTCCAGGGCTCACCTGGCTGCCCTGTCCGCTGTGGCTCGGGCAGGGCTCTGAGCTCTAGCTGCACGTCAGAGCCATCAGAGACTTAAAGGATCTATTCCTGACCCAGCACAGATGAGCGAGGCCAACTACAGGGAACAGGGATGGACGGGCATTGTCCTGGAGACCAGAGGGCCACTGGACGGGACAGTGCAGACGGCCTGGAGCTGGGGACGAGGGGGAAGGCCAGGGTTTGGGTCAAGCCCTATAGCAATTAGGATCTCAGGGACACTAAACCATCCAGAGTCACTTGATGAGCATCTCAGCAGGGAGCACAGGGGCTCCACCTGGACCCATCGCTGGCCCCTCCTGCTCCCTGGGAGGAAGCCGCAGCCCCTGGGCTCTCGCCCACAGCCTGGGGCTTCAAAGTCCAAATCGACTGTCCCCCAGCGCAGATGCTGGCGTCCAGGGTCAGGGTGCAGCAGGCTTCTCCTGCTGAGGCCTCTCCGGTCTTGCAGACACCGTCTAGTCCCGGTGTCCTCAGTGGTTGTCCCTCTGTGTGTCCCACTGTTAGGATCCCATCATAACTTAAGCACCTCTTTAAAGACCCCGTCTCTAACTACGGCCACTTGCCAGGGTCCTGGGGACGACTTCAATGCATGGACGGAGACAGGGCAATTCGGCCCCAGCCAGGTGTTGGCACCTGAGCTGTGAGGAGTCTGGCTCCGCCCCTCCTGTCCACCCCCAGAGCACCCCAGGCGCCTCCTGGCTCTGTAGTTCAGGGAATGCGGGGTAAAATGAAAGTCTGGCTGGGGACCCCTTGGATAGTCACCTTCACCCTTCACAAAATGTTGTTTCAGGGTACAGACAAGTGAGCGCTGGGATCAGAGATGGCTCCTGCTGGCGTGGCCCTGAAGGCCACAGTCCTGTGCCTCCTGGCCTGGGCTGGCCTGGCCACTGGAGACCGGGTGTACGTACACCCCTTCCACCTCCTCTTCTACCCGAAGAGCACCTGCATCCAGCTGGAGAAACCCGACCTGGAGACACCCAAAGAGCCGACCTTCACGCCTGTGCCGATTCAGGCCAAGTCAGCCCCAGTGGACGAGGAGGCCCTGCGTGCCCAGCTGGTGCTGGTGGCCGAGAAACTGGAGGCTGAAGACAGACTGAGGGCCACAGAGGTGGGGATGATGGCCAACTTCATGGGCTTCCGCATGTACAAGATGCTGAGTGAGGCGTGGGTCGCCGCCGGTGCAGCTGTCCTCTCCCCAACGGCTCTCTTTGGCACGCTGGCCTCCTTCTACCTGGGAGCCCTGGACCCCACGGCCAGACAGCTACAGTCATTCCTGGGTGCACCTGGGGAAGACCAGGGCTGTACCTCCCGGCTGGATGGGCATAGGGTCCTCTCTGCCCTGCAGGCCACCCAGGGCCTTCTGGTGGCCCAGGGTGAGGCCGGCGGCCGGGCCCCACTGCTGCTGTCCACAGTGGTGGGCCTGTTCACAGCCCCTGGTCTGCGCTTGAAACAGTCCTTTGTGCAGGGCCTGGCCACCTTTGCCCCCGTGGTCCTCCCGCGCTCTCTGGACTTGTCCTCAGACCCAGAGCTCGCTGCTGAGAAGATTGGCAGGTTTTTGCAGGCTGTGACAGGGTGGACAACAGGCAGGCCTCTGTCAGGGGCCCGAGCAGATAGCACTCTGCTTTTCAGCACCTCTGTCCACTTCCACGGTGAGGAAACCCCTGGTCATTCTTGGGCTGCCCCAGGGTGGTGTTCTCAGTCCCACACCCTTAGCAGACGGCGGGACGGGGACAGGAAGATGGCAGGCGTGCTGCTCGGGTGCCCTTGGCCCTTGAGCTTCCTGCAGCCGCGGTTTCCATGGCAGCTGACGGCCAACTGCAGGGACTCACTCTGCCTCTGGGGCAGATGCTGAGCTGAGTGGCAGGAGGGGTACCACCACCCAGGCCAGCTGCGGGGGGCTGCCTCCGTCACTGTGGCTGGAGGAAAAGCCCTGTGTCCCTCTAGGCAGCTCCACTGAGGTCCCTTGGGGACCATACAAGGGGATGCCCTGCTTCTTGCTCATATGGCTTTATACTGTGGCCCTTGTCACCCCCTCACCAAAGGCTCTGAGGGTCGAGGACCATGCCATTCCACTCTCACAAGGTCTCAATCCAGGGGGAAGAGCTGCATCCAGCCCCTTAGGACAGGGCGACATACAAGTGAGGCCAGGCAGGGGTCAGGGCTGTCATGGGGGCCCCTTGTTGACCAGGCCTCCCTGGGGCCTCCTGCGGGCTGCCTTCGCTTCACTCTACCACCCCAGCTCACTGGTCCTCAGTCCTGCCTGTCCCTGGGCAAGAGAGGTGCAGAGCTGGGGCCTGGTTCCAGGGCTGGGGCCTGGTCAGTGAGCAGTAGTGGGGGCTGAGCACCACCAGCAGGCTTAGGGGCTACATGAGGACCTTGGGCCTCAGGCAGGAAAGGTGTGAAGCTGCCATGGTGGATGGTCACCACTGTCCACTGTCCAGTCCCACCAGGTCCAGCACCAGGGTGAGCCCTTGTGAACTGTGGCTTTGGGTAACAACTGGCCATTCTGACAAGTGGGCAGCTGTGGTAGGGTGTCAATGGCCGAGGCTGGGTGTTGGGAGATCTCTGTAATTGTGCTTGGACTGTGGCCCTAACGCTGCTTTAAAGGGTCATATTGAGTAAGGAAAAGTGAGGCGAGCCCGGGCTGGGCAAGGCAGATCTGGTGGGCTCCTCATCAGGAGCCCTGGGCCAGACCCTGAGTGGTTTTGGACCTCAGCCTAAGGGCTGGTATCCCAAGTGCAGCAAGTGCAGCGGCTCTGTAGCCGGGCTTGGGCGGAAGACAGGCAACCCTCAGGTTCTGGGCAGGTGTGGGCCTGCGCCCGGGGCAGTGGTGGCTGCTGGGTGGGGAAGGAGGCTAAGGGTGGGGAAGGAGAGGAGCAAAGCAGCCTGGCCAAGGCTGCCCAGGCCCGGGCCCCACTGCTGCTGCCAAGGCCCACAGCCTGCCCAGCTGCTGACCATCCCCTCCTATTCTGTCTGGGCTGCAGGGAAGATGAAGGGCTTCTCGCTGCTGCCCGGGTCCCAGGAGTTCTGGGTGGACAACAGCACCTCAGTGTCCGTCCCCATGCTCTCGGGCACTGGTACCTTTCAGCACTGGGCTGACGTGCAGAACAACTTCTCCGTGACCCGCGTGCCCCTGGGCGAAAGCTCATGCCTGCTGCTGATCCAGCCGCACTGTGCCTCTGATCTGGACAGGGTCTCAGCCCTTGTCTTCCACCATGACTTCCTGGCCCGGATGAAGAACCTGTCTCCCCGGTAGGAACTTCTGGGTGCCCTGGAAACTGGGGGAGCTGCGCCATCTTAGCCCAGGGTGGAAGGGTGAGCAAAGCGGGACAGGCCCAGGGTGCCAGGCTGGCCTGAACCTGGGTGTCCACCAGCACCTCCCATTCCTCCATCCCCTGGGCTCTGGCAGGTGCAGCTGAGAGAAGAGGAAGCACCCATTTCTCAGAGCGGTGTGAGCCCACAGGTTTTACGAGAGAGAAACGCCTAAGCCACCCTCTGAGAAGGAGTCAACCCCACACTCAGGCAGGCCCGTCCTGACACCCCAGAGCCTCTGGGGACTGATGTTGGGAGGGCCTGGCCTCAGCTGCTCTTCTTCCTGTTGTGGCAGCCCCTCCCACAGAGCACTGGCCTCTTCCTGTTGGTCCTTCAGACTCACGGGCCCAGAGTCTGGCCCAGGGCCAGTGCCAGGGGGAAAAGTCGGGACCCTGCTGCCAACTGTCTTTGAAAGTTTTATTTTTTTAGGTTTATAATATTGTAATGATAAATCAGTATGCAATGAGGGTCTTAGTTTGAATCATGATGGAATACACCTGACCTAAAACGCACCACCTCGGCCATCCCAGTGTCCTGACACGGAGCCGTCTCAGTGGTGGGCCTCCACCAGCAGCCTGTCTCCAGAGCCCGCTAACAGTGCAACACTGACACTGGCCTGTGTGGTGCCGACCCACGGGAGCCTTGGCAGCCCACAGCACCCTCCGGCCGGCTGCGGGTTGCCCACCTCAGGTCCCTTCTCCCCTGGGGTCGAGCATCAGCCACTATGCAGACACACAGTCATTCACACGTCTGTCCGTGGACACTTGTGAGGCTTCCCCGGTGGCTTGAGGCCTTGGCTGTGGACATGGCACACTGGCCAGGGCTGGCTGTGTCACCAGAAGTGCCCATGGCCCTAAGGGTTGCCAGAGGAAGCAGCTGGAGGTGGAGGTCACTGGAGCTAATGGGTTGGCACAGGCTGAGGTCAAGACCACAGCCCCTGCCCAGAGTCTCCCTCCAGAGCACCCTGCAGCCAGCTAGGGTGACACCTCTCAGGGCTGCCCAGGAGTGCCCACACACAGCCAGCCTGAGAAGCGAGCAGAGCAAAGCCCAAGCTGCCCTCGCCAGTACCCAGGACAAGCCCTGGAGCTGGGGGCCCTTCCCATGCTGTTTCCTTCACGCTTAAGGTTTTCTTTGTATTTGTTACTGAGGTTTTCCTAGAGGTGAGGATGACCTAGCTGGATGAGGGCTAGACTTCCCCTTCCTCAGGGGCAGGAGCAAGGAGCACACCTCCCTGGGCTCCTGGGAGCCCTTGCCTTGTCCCCTGGAACCCTCTGACCACACATCTTCCCAGGGCCATCCACCTGACCATGCCCCAGCTGGAGTTGCGAGGCTCCTACGACCTGCAGGACTTGCTGGCTCGGGCCAAGCTGCCCACCCTGCTGGGCGCAGAGGCGAACCTGGGCAAGATCAGTGATGGCGACCTCAGAGTGGGAGAGGTTGGTGCTGGCCTAGGGGAGGTGTGGATGAGACACAAAGGGGGCTGTGGGCGAGGCTGTCAGGATAGGAGGGAGAGAAGACCTGGACCAGGGGGGTGGGCCATGTTGGGAGGGACGTGGCCAGAGCCCTCCGGGACTTCCCAGGGACAGCGCAGGAGAGCAGCTCCTGCCCAGCCTTGCCTCTAGTGCTCCAGGAGTGTTCGGCCCCTGCTCAACCAGGCCAGGACTTGGGGTCTTCCCCGGAAGCTGCAGTGGAGGTGTCCCTGGCCAGGCTCTATCCTGCAGCTCCTTCTGTGCTCAGGAGCCACTCTCTGGCAAGAGAGCCAGGGATCCTGCCCAGCACAGCAAGGTGGTGGGTGGAGACAGGAGGGCACGGGCAGGGGAGGCAGGAGCTGCCGGAGTCCCGAGGTGGGCCTGCAGGCGTCCTCCCTGCCTTGGGCCCTGTGTGCCCGAGGACAGAGGCCATCTCCATTGCCTTGCAGGTGGTGAACAGCCTTCTTTTTGAACTCAAAGCGGATGAGGAAGAGCAGCCTGCAGAGTCTGCCCAGCAGCCCAGCATGTCTGAGGCCCTGGAGGTGACGCTGAGCAGCCCGTTCCTGTTCGCCATCTACGAGAAGGACTCGGGTGCCCTGCACTTCCTGGGCCGTGTGGACAACCCCCTGAATGTAGTGTGAGGCCCTGCAAGGCCACTGTGCCTGGCCATCCAAGTTGAGGCCAGCAGAAGAGCAAACCTGGCAGAATCGGCCACCTGTTGCCACCTTCTCCTCCCCGCCCCTGGTGGGTTGGCGTGGCTCCTTGCCAGTGTGGCACCTGAGCAGACACAGGCGTGAGTGGAGAGTGGGGGAGGCAGGAGCCTGTGCTGTACCAGGACGACTCTTCAGAGGGGGAGTCTGAACATATCCACTGTCTCTGAAACCAAAGTGTCCCCTTCTAACAGAAATTGGGCCTTAAGATTAAAACACACGTTGTCTCATTGCCTTGGGTTTATACTCAGCGAACTGAATGTGAGATTATAGTTCCCACAATGCCTTAGTTTTTCTTCCCATGATACCTGTAGTTGCAGAAAGACACACAGACCTGATTTCATGCTAGAGCAATCCTGACCACCCTGGCAATAATCCTCAGGTGGCTAGTAACATCCTCCGCTGTGAGCAGGGCTGCCAAGCCATTCAGCTGACAGTCCACGGAGCTCTCATGACCCCTTGCTCCTGGGGAGGCCCAGCCCATGTGCTCTGGGTGCCTCTGCCAGGAGCAGGAGAGTCAGGCTTGTGTGATGGGAGGCCTGTCCGTCAGGGGACCTAGAGGGGAACGGGGCCGAGGGATGGATTGCTGCTCAGGGGGTCCCTGGAGCAGAGGGCAGGGCCCTAAATCTTCTCAAAACCCTTTTTCCCTCAATGGATTAGACCCACAGTCTCTATGTCTCAGCAAAGCCAAGGACGAGGTGGGTACTGGGCAGGCTGGATGGCCTTGGTGATGCTTCTACCTCCCTCAGGAAAAGTTGAGGGAAGACATAGCCCTGGCCGTGCTGGACGCAGGTCCAGGCCCCAGGTCCCCAGCCAGCAGCTGTATTCTGCAGATGCTGAGTGCACACCAGCCTCGGGAGCTCCTGTGGAATGGAGTGGTTCTGCTCTGCGAGCGCAGGTGGGTGGCAGGGTTTCCAGAACCACAGCAGCCCTGTTCCGTGGTGACTCCTGGCTGGTGTGGCAGCCTGGCATGTGTTTCCAGCACCCTCACTTAAACAATCAGCTGCAAGGTGCTGAGTGTCATACCAGGGACCCAGGGACCCAGCCAGTCACTCTGCCCCTGGCTCCTGGGACGCCCAGTGGTGGCATTGCCACAGCTGAGGTCCCAGGGTGTTGCCTTCTGTCTGTGGGAAGGTGGCCTCCAGCTTTGCAGGTGGAGCAGTGCTGCTCACTGTCGCGCTGCTTTCTGTACAGTTCTAGGTGGGCGGCTGGGTCAGGGAGACAGTGCAGGATGCCGGCACGCCATGAAGGTGGCTTGAGAACGGCAAGCATGGGGTCCGTCTGCCCAACGCACTCCTCCACTGAGCTGGGTGCAAAGTGCCCATCCATGAGACTGGGGTCGGCCACTGAGGCCTAGGTGCTGTGGAGGAGACCCGCAGTGACACGGCAAGGCCTGGTCTGTGGTGCACTTGAAGGGCGCAGGGAGTGTGCTCAGCACTGCCCTCTGCACAGCATCCTGGTACCCCTGCTTCCCCTGTCATGAGGGGACAAGCTGTGGGGCAGCCCAGCCTGGGTAATGCCAGCATTCAAGGGAGCTGAAGCCACTTTCTGGCCAGGAGGCCAACCAGAGTCCATAGCAGCTCCAAAGCTGACCCACAGCTGGATCCAGTCGCAGCTGGGCATGGGCTGGAGGCACCCATAGGTGGAGATGTCAGCCTGCTCACCCAGCTAGGCCTCAAACACCTGGGGCACCTCCCACTTCCTCCCAGTGAGTTGTAGTGAGTGGGTGGATGGAAGGCAGCGGCTTCCAAGAAGACATCCACCTTCCCACCCCAGACCCTTTGGAGGGAGCAGGACCTAGGGCCACCTGCTTTTGCACTTCTGGGTCCCTGTCCAGAATCCAGTGTGACAGACTGGATTTCTGTTATGTTCAGCCACCACCTTGGTGGCCACTTGTGCAGGCAGACCCCAGGGATGCAGACTGGCTCCCCGGGAACCTGGAGCTTCCCTGAGGTATGCTCAGTCTGCGCGGCAGGGGGAAAGCAGCTCTTCCCAGCAGGAAGCACCACTATATTTTAAACCGTCAACAGATGAAAGAAAGGAGAGCTGCAGACAACACTCTGCAACCACCAGCTTCCTGCAGGAAAGTCCTCCTTCCTAGGCCCCAGGACTGTCACTACCCAAGGCCACCCTCTGCAGAGGTGGACACAGGGAGGGTAGGAAGCCTAACAGGTGGTCAGCTGGTCTGGAACTACCTTGCCTGGGTCTCCAAACAATGACCCACCTTGGTTCCCCACCTGTGAGATGGAGACAACATGCCTGGGCTGGGGCTGTACCCCACCTCCTGCTCTAAGGCTAGTGAGAAAGATAGAACAGGGGGCTGGGGACTTGGGGTCCACTGGGGAGATGCTGGCTGGGAGTCCCCTGCCCACCAGCGCCAGCCTACTAGGTGGGCAACATCCCCTGCCTACCAGCGCCAGCCTACCAGGAGGGTGACACCCCCTGCCCACCAGCGCCAGCCTACCAGGAGGGCGACTCGCTGGCCTGCAGAAGGCACCTTCTGATGTTGGTTCGGGACAGAGCTCCCATGCCCAGGGAGGTGCCCTATAAGGGAGCTGCAGGGGAGCCGTGCTACCCAGGGCGAGGTAACTCATGGAGGACAGGATGGCGCAGGCTTGCAGCAGACACTCCTTTATTTGGGATATCTCCTCCTCCTCCGGCTCTGGCTCCTGACAGGTCCAGAGACCAGTGAGAGCAGTGGTGCTGGGTCCCTGTCCATGAGCAGACAGTGTGTCCACTGGTGCAGCCCCATGCAGTCCCAGCACCCAGCCAGCCTGGGACACAGCTGGGCCCCACCTATGCATGAGCTCGAACCCTGCTTTAGAATCAGCTCTTCCACGCTAAGATTTGCAATAAAAATAAAATCATCTGATCTGTAAACTACAGTAAAAAGTTTCAAATGTCTTAAAAACTCATCCATACAATGGAAAAAGGCCTTTGTTCTTTTTGGGTAAAAGGAGATTCAAAGGTGCTGAGGTGGGCACGAGCGTTGCTGGGCAATGCTGGATACGCGCCTCTGCTGTGAACAGAGCCGCTTTCTTCCCTTGGGCCACCAGGACGCTATGGCTGCTCCGTGGCTGCCTGGTCCTTGGCAGCGGCCACCAGCTCTGCAAGGGCTGTGAAGCTCTTGATGCTGCTTGTCTGCAGGCCCATCTTTTGTATCTGCAAAGACATGAGAATGAGTCATCGTCCTGTGACTTAGCCAGACTCGAAGAGACCCGCATGAGAAGCCACCGAACACCCGACCAAGTCAGAAGAGGGCAGTGCCCTGAGCACCTGCAGGAACCTTCTTCTCCTTTGGAAAAAAGGGTCAACTTACTGCAGAACTTCATGTTTTTGGGTTAAACCCTCTGCATTCTAAGAAGCCAATATGTTACCTAATCTCAGCCCTTCAAATCAGACGGATGAGCGCAAGGGCCTCTTTTAAGGACTTAAAAAAAAAAAAAAAAGTTCTCAGAGGAAATTCACAACTAAAAAAATACATGAATTGTTCTCTAAGTGGAGAATTTCCAAACAAGTACTGACCTGAGCTCTTGCTTTATCCATGCAGCCTTTTCTTGGGTCCTTGTGATGGACAAAACACACTGGTGCTGACCTACTGTGGTGACTATAGCCACTGAGTGCCCATTAGGGCCTGTTTTTGTTCAAGAATAATGTGTGTGCACAGAATGGGAAGGAAAGGCTGTGCAGTACTTGGCACCTCACGGCTGGCCTGGCACTGGACCGTGGGAGCCTGTCCCTGCCTTCCCCACCTGTTTCCCTTTTGCTTATTTACTCTCCATGTCTCTACAGCAAACTTTTTGCTTCTCTTATGACATGCAACAGGCAATGGGCTTTGCAGGAGACATCCGGAAGCTCAGAACAGAAACTTGGGTTCCAGGAGGGCCTGGGCAGGAACATGTGGCTTGCCTCACTCCCCCTCTCGGGCAGAATTCTTGTTTGAGGAGCAATTGCTTGGGGAAAATCTGGACAGGGGCCATCTGGACACCTGCCAGCTTGAGGATGCTGAGGATGAGACTGCCTCACAGAAGGGCCACGCCAGCCTCATCACCCAGGAGGGAAGCAAGCAGCTGTATCAGCTCACTTCCTGCATCCATGGGAGAGCACTGCTGTGCTCTCTGTGGCCACTGGTAAGCACGTTAGGGCCAGCTGTGCAGCACAGTCCCTCCCAGGCACGGAAGGCATGGTAATCGCACGTGTGACCCCACAGCTACCACCACAGCCAGCCATCAATGGAAACTCTCGGCACTCTCTTGCCTCCTCTCTCTCCTGCTCCGGGTACAAACCCCTTACCAGAGAGCAGCCTGGACCCTACTTTCCTCTCCTAAGCCATGGGATTGATGTCTTGGCCTCAGCAACAGCACCCGAGGCAACGCCAGATCCCTGTTGGGTCCTGGGACCCGAGTTTGGGCTGCTGGTGCTGAGGTGGCTCCCAGTACCTGCTCGCCCAGGTACTCCACGTCCAAGGCCAGCTGCAGCCGGATCTTGTCGTCATCACTCATGCCACTGCTGGGGCCCACAGGGCTGGCTGCGGCGATCTTTCTGGCCTGCTTCAGCCTCTTCAGACTCGCCTCCATCTTCCTCACGGAGCTTAGGACATCTGACACAGTCTCACAGTACCTGGCCAGACACAGGTACCAGTGAAACTAACATTCAGAACCCTTGTGGCCGACTCTGAACAAAGATGTTCTTAAGATAAAATTCATTTCCAATAAGACCCAACTGTGGTAAATGCTGTCTCTGAAGACAGTGGGAAGGGTCTGGCACAGCATCTCCCCAGAACTGAACTGTTGGGACTCTAGGCTGAACGCCAGGAGAGACTGACAGGCCCTATGCCTTCTCATACCCAGTGGACACCTACAGTGCGACCACAGCCAAACAACAAAGGTCATTCCAAACCCTGAAGGGAACATCTCATCTTCCAAAGTGTAAGATTCCTAGAATTTTAAGTAAAATTCTGTCCTCCAAATACTCTGCATATAATTTTTAAATCATAAGCAAGTTACATTTCTAAATTCTGTAAGCTGGTCATTTGGCATTTGGAATACATTTGCCCACAAAAACATTCTACATCATTGTTATGTTCTAAACTAATCCATTTATGGCTGCTTGACGCATAAGAACTGAACATAACATACTGCAAAAATTAATGCTTAAAACAGTTAAACAAAATTGATAATGAAACATTTTTGCTTTTTCGTTTTTTGGTGGAGTGCTGGGGATGGAACCCAGGGCTTTGTGCATGCTGGCAAGTGCTCTTTGGCTGGGCTATCCCAGCTTCAAATGATACCCTTTAGTGTGACTTGGCACCAGGGTTCGAGAAGCAGACTTAATTAGATGAAGAGGCACTCAAGGGCTGGGGACTTCAGAAACTGCCATGCCAGCTGTAGGGAGCTTCTAAATGTGTGCGTCCTCCTTTAGGTCACAGGGCTTTCATGTGTATGAACTCAAGTGGCATGACTGGAGCTGTGCTGGAGGGACAGAGCTGAGGACAGGGAGGGCCTGAACAGGGCAGAGGGGCAACAAACAGTAGCACAGACAGTGCCCGGGACATGAGGCTCACGGAACACAGGCCAGCTTGATGGTGGTCTGAGTGGAAGAAGGTGGCCCTGAGCTGAGAGCGAAGAGGGCGAAAGGGTGTGGCTGATGTGCCCAGGGGCAGGCAGGTGCTGTGGTGGGCCCACTACAGGTCCATGCACAGCCTGGGAATGCCCAGGGGCCTCTTCCAGGGGCTCTTCAGAGGGCGCACCTGTGAGTGCTCTCGGAAAGTGCTCCTTCCAGCCACTGCTGTACCAGTGAGGGTCTGAGCTTGTCCTTGTGTCCACTCTGGAGCTGGTGAAATGGCTTCAGTGCACTCTCCACGTAAGCAGAAGCTGTGGTAGGGACCTCCTGCAATAATGTCGACAGGACGCGTTCCAGGTCGGAGTGTACACAACCACTGTCCTCCCAGACACTAACGGCAGAGGTCCACAGAAAGATCTGGGGCAGGAGGGCAGCCAAGAGTGCAGGCCCACACCTCGGACTCTGTTCCCTGGAGCAGTAGCTCCCCATATTGTCCGTCTATAATATCCTGCTAATTCTGTTTAATTCAGGATCTGCTTCTACAGGTGGGGTGGAGCTGAATTCTGGCCACCAGGGGGCATCAGTCTGGCTCATCAACAGACCAGAGCTTGAGAATCAAGCATGGGTGAATGACCAGCCTATAACCCTTCCTAGCTTTGGTTTCTCCACCCATCAACATGCCAGTCACAGAAGGAGCAGTGAGTCTGTGTAAAGTGCTCATCCTCACACCAAGGGAACACACCCCAACAGCCCACAGGGCAGAAAGGGAGCTGGTGCAGCACTGGGAGGAAAGCAAGCCGGTCTCTCTACTTCCAAGGGGGCATCAGGTCAGAGGAAGGTGCAGACTGGAAGTGCTCTACTAGGAACGGCAATCCCAGCCCACGTCCCAGATGGACTGTGGAGAAGACTGTCCTAACTAATGCCAGCTCTGCCACAGGGACCCACAAGCACCCCCAATAGCATGCCAGACAGATGGCTGTGCAGCAACAGACAGGGCCCACCTAGTACAGTCAAGGCCCTACATTCCACAACCCTCGTGGCTCTAGGAAGTGAACCAGGAGACATTAAATTAAGTCTGAAATCTAACTTTACAACTGGGAAGAAAAAGAAAATCAGAGAATTATGTGAGCTCTACTAAGAATAAGACGAGAACAAACATTAAACATGGGAGAGTGGGCATTCAGGGGGAGCTCAACACTGAATCCCACATCTGCTCTAGGACGTGACCATGAGCAGCAGCAGCATGCGCTGCCTTCTAGCCTACAAATGTCTGTTTTTCCTTTTCCTTTCTTTTTATTTTGTGGTGCTTGGATGAAATGCAGGGCCTGCCCAGGCAAGTGCTCATCCCACGTAGCCCTGACATACTTTTTAACGCAGTTTGTCTGAACTTATTCAGGAGAAAGTAGGTACCTCCAGGACAAGAAGGCAGCAAAGTATTTTGTAAGTCCAAGTAGTTTGTAATACATGACATGTTTAAGTAGGATTTTAAAAATATTAAGATGCTTTCTTTTGAAAGGAAGCAAGAAAGTGCACTCTATCCCAGCTACCACCCACCTCAGCTGCAGTGTCAGGGCCTCTGCCCTCCAGCCTGGCTCTGAATGGTTGGATGGAGCTATCTTGCCCTCTTCTCCAGCCCCCTTAGTAAGCTTCCCACTTCAGAGTTCTTTTTGGTGAATGACACTAACCTTATTGGTTCTTCGGTAGAGCCGGGGCACCTCTAGGGCACCCTTCAGGTAACTGAAGCAAGACTCGCTCAGGTCCTGGATGACCCTGCTGCTCAGGGCAGGCACGCAGGCTGACAAGGAGCTCCGGGAGTCCTCCAGGGCAGCTGCAGAGGCAGGAAGGCAGGACTGGTCACTCTGCTTGGGCCCAGAGGTGAACTTGGTTTTAAAGACGATCATAGTATGCAGTGTGTACTACAGTAAACCAAATCAATTAGCATTAAACACAAGATCTTAGGGGTCAAACCCACAGAGCAGAGCGACCAAGGATTTACAACTAGAAAAGAAAATGCTGATTCACACATGTCCCGTAGTCTCTGAAACTTTACCTCAAATTATTTCTTATTCAAAGATTTGCCGAGTCTGAAGATCATTTTTACCTGAGATAGAAGAGAAATTCTCAAAGCCAATCATTTCCAGTTTTGGCTTAATTGTCTCCAAGAGCTCTGGAAGCTGGAACATAGATACCGCATGCTCAGTCACTCCTTGTAAACCAAGGCAGCGGCAATTCTACTTGCATCTACGAAGCTGGAACATTGTTAATGGGTAGTGAAACTAAAATCAGGACTCTTAGTGCTGTTTGTCAAGGGAACATGAGGCTCAGTGCTGTCAAGAAGAACTGATGGCATGGGGAGCCCACGGGCTCACAGCCACCCGCAGGCCCAGGGAATGGGTGGAAACCTTCCATTTTCTGGCTATCCGTGACACCAAGAAAGCCCACTGTAAACAGCAATGCTCGAGACACACAAATGCACCAATTCAAGCACATAAAGCCTTAAACTCAGGGAAAGCAGAATCATGCACTCTAACTTCAGCCTGTAAAGTTCTTCAATTGTAAAAAGCAAAAGCTATGGGAACTATATAGAGAAAACAGAGAAATTTTGATATGTCAACACTTTCAAATATTACAGAAAACATCTGGGTAAGTGAACTAAAAATAGCTAAGAGTTGTGCCAGAGCAGACATGAGCTAACCAACCAAAGCAGCACGACTCTGCTCAGCATACCCCTGCTGAGGAGGGGCAGAGGTGCAGGCTCCCATGGTGCCAGGGGCACTGCTGAGCAGGAGGCACACTGGCAGAAGCCTCCACGGAGATGACCTGTCAAGGACGGCTGGGGAGTCACGGGACAGACGAGATGCACCAGACCTTGGCGGGATACCTGGGGCCCCACAGTTCCAAGGACCACAAGGACACAGAAGCCTGCCTTTGGCACCAGCCTCTTTCTGAGAAACCTGCGACTCTTCAGGGATCGGCTTACCTGCTCCTGAAGCCTGTCTAGGTCTGCAACCACATACACCAGCTGAGTACTGGAAATGGACTCCATTGGCTTCTCCTCTGAAGGTCCCCTTCCTTGGTCTTCATTACCTCCTTGAGAGGCAGAAGGGTCTTTGCTACCAGCTACCAAAGGCTTTTTGATCTCCTTGGCACTTTCATTAGAAATGGGCCTGCGAGAAAGCTGGACAAGAGTTCCAGTGGTTACATGCTTGCAGGCTGGCGAGACACAGGAGTGTCCATACACATGTAAGTCAGCAAGGAACGCCAGCTGTGTGCAGCAAAGATGGACTAAGGCAAGAACTCCGTACCATCTCTGAGACAGTGACAAGCAGGGCTTGCACACAGGGGACAACTAGCTCCCTGTGTCTGACACTGAGGGCAGCAGACAGAGAGCCCTGCAGGGACCTAGCAAGGCCAGCACTTGGCACTCAAGGGCCATGCTCTGTGGCTGCCACACATCTACAGACAGCCTGAAGCTTGCGGTACTTCACACACCTGGCCATCTGAGCAGGGGAACGGTGCCCATGAAAAGGAAAGACTGCTCCCCTTTTCATTTCAACTTCCAAATACCAAGTGTATTTTGATTTCTAATCATTTTCATTAAAATGAACATGTTTTAATTCAGGCCCTGTGAAGATTTCTGGTTTTGAGAGAGAGAGTGGACTGGTCAGTGTGGGGCTCTTCAGTAAGAAAACACAGAGCGTGGGACACCACACACCCAAGGGGCAGCTGCCGGAGCAGAATGTAAGGCAGTCAGCTGTGAGCGAGAAGCCAGCTTGCTGCCATCCACGCACGCCACAGGGCGTGAAAGGTCTCTGACCCTCACCTGTCCTGGGTACAGATGAGACGCATGGCACTTACCTCACTGGCAAAGACGGAAAAGCGTGCCAGAATCTGCAGAGTGAGTCTCCAGAGGCGATGGACCAGCAAGGGCAGGAACAGCTCGTCCGACCAACACCTGAGCAGGCTGCTCCACGTTCTATGGGAAGCCAAGAGGCAAAACGGACTCCCAGCTGGGGACGGAGCAGAGACTCGGGCTCAGTCAGCTGTAGCTGCCGATGCTGGGCCCTCCGGGCGAAGGGCGTGGCGTGTGCGAGTGTGGCACAGCGAGCCCAGAACTCACGCGTGCACGCTCACACACAATAACACAGGCGTGGCCTTCCGAGGGCTGCCAGGGAAGACAGGAGGACCCCGCGGCTCGTCTTCCTGTCTTCACGCACTTGGCCCCACACCCCAGGCATGTGGGTGAAGAAGCAACGCCCAGCACCTGGGATGCTGCTCCTCACACACTGTGGGCCACCTCAGACCAGCTCTAGGGCACCCCTCCAGGCCAAGGGCTGCTGGATCTGTCCTACCTGCTCTGTCCACTCCTCTCCTCCTGTCTCAGCAGTTCCCAGAGAGGAGTCACTTACACACAACCACCTCTGACAAGGAAAGACTGAAACTAGGTGGAGGCCAATAGGGCAGGGGGACTGACAGTGGACACAGCTGCCCCAATGAGAGCAGGCACTGACATCCAGGAACCCAGAACCCATACACCATCCTTTAGTGGTCACCAAGAAAAACATGACGAAACTGGCGAGCCATCAGACACGCACACATGTTCTGAAGTCTGCACACCTATGATGGTCACCTCCGGTGTCCACCCTGGGGCTGGAGGCCGAGCGCATGCTCCCACAGGGTCACTCTTGGGGTCCTATATGTGGCCACCCTAAGCCAGGAAGAAGCCAGACTGCAGCAGCCTGAGCCCCTGGACTGCAGCCCTAATGTGCTATGTCCAGCACCAAGAAGGACTCTGCTTCCTGTCTGCAAGCACCTTCGACCCTCTCCATGCAGCAGCTCCATGAACCAAAAGATGTGGTTTCTTTTGCCTTATTGGAAAAAAAGTTGGATAGTGGTGGTGGGGGCAGTGTCCTGAGTGACAGGAAAAGGTCAGAGTGCTCTTTGGACCAAGGCCTAGCTGAGAGGTGGGCGTGGCTAGGGGGACACCTGTTGCTCCAGTTCTAAGAGTTTACCTGGTGCTTCTTCCAGCCCACGTGTGAGTGCTGCTTCCAAGGATCCTGCCACCTCTCTGAACCTGTGAGGAGCAACACCCAAGTCAGCCCGAGGCACCCCCGACCCGTCTTCCTCTCCCCAGGCAGCAGGGCTTCCTTGCGTGCTGAGGGAAAGGCCAAACACCTGAGGCAGAGGGTGCAGCAGAGGGAGATGGGCCACTGTCCTACTCCATCCTCTGCCCCGGCCACAGAGGAGGGCATGGGAAGGAAGCTGGCCTGGGGTCTGCCCATCAGAGCCCAGCGTTCCTTCCCACTATCAGAAAAAGGCTGATCTTTGCTCAGTTTGGCTCCCAGGACACTTGTACCTTCCACAACCAACTCTGCCTCCCAACAGGAACCTTCTGACGCCAGAGGCAGCTGCCAGCTGGGTGCGTGCTCAGCAGCAGTCACGATCTGGGGAAGGTGCCTGCGGTGTGGGGCACTGACCGTATCTGGAAGTAGACCGGCAGGTTCCACTTGCTGTTGAAGCTGTGGTAGGCAGGGTGCGCTCGCAGCCGTTTCACACTGGCCTGCGACCCACACTGTCGCTCAAACCTTCTTAGGAAGTCCATGCTGGTGGTGTACTTCTAGAAAGAACAAGGGGGTCAGTGCAGCGGCTCAGCCGTACTGGGCACACTCTGGAAAATGTTGGAGGGGAAAGGGTCCCGCACAGCAGTCCTGAGCCATGCCCAGGGCTAACGTGGCCATGTCCAGGGGAAACTCCAACACACAGTCCTATGTCCAGAACTGGATAACGACAGTGCTCTCACCCCACCAGCACCTGAACAGACAGACGGTCCATTAAGTGATCCAACTCGTCACTGAGCAGCCACCTGGCTCTCACAGATGGGAAGTGGGAACTGCTCCAGGAGGAGCACAGCCGACAGCGGGCACTACCGTAAGCCACCCAGCTGCCTGTCCAGGCCGCCACCATCACCACTACCACCACCAATAGCAGGTGATGCCTCTTCTACTGGGCTCTGACAAAGCTAGGGGCAGGACCCAGCCAGTCAGCAGATGCCTTCTCGGGGCTCTCTATGCATGAATCCCCGTGCCCTGAACCACGCAGGCTGACATCTGCCCACACAGGGATTGTAGGCCAGCAGAAGCTACAGGTTATCATTTCTTTCACCTAGATTTGGGCAGCATTCTGTGTCCCTAAGGGTGGGCTAGGTGTGTGGGGTTGGGACACAGGAGGCCACTGTGGAGTAAGGCTCTATCTCTACATTCAATGGCCACCAGAGGGACAAGGGCACTTCCCTTTCCTTAAGAAACACTGCTTTAAGGCCCACAGCTGAAAGTACTTCTTGAAGCTGACAGACACTTGTGGAAACTAAGCCCACCAGCACCCAGCACTGGCCTAGACTTCTGCCAAGTTCTCTCAGAAGGTTCATGGCTGAGCTGCTGCACTTCCTGAGCCAACCTGGTCACCATGACCTGAGGAGCACAGTGGAACGCAGAGCACCTCACACCACTCCTGCGTGAGCCACCCGCACTCTGCTCACGCCATCTAACTTAGGAAGCCCTACTTTTTAACATCACAGAAGTTGTCCTCTGTCAAAAGCAACACAAGCAAGCATGCGACTCAGCATCCTGTAACATGAGGCCATTAGCCCAGAGGGTCACATCCTGACAAGAAGGCTGTGCTGCACTGTGTCTCAGCCGCCACCATCAAGCCTCCAGGCCCAGGCTCCGTCCGCTCACCTCGTGCCTCTTCGTGCACCTTGCATTAGTGAGGGGATTAAGCAGGCAGATCAGAAGAGAAGCAAACAAATTCCAGAAATTATGGCAACTACAACTGGAAACTCAAAGCACAGACGCATCTGATGAAAGACCCAGTAAAACGAAAGACAAGTCCCGAGGAATCCTGAGCACGCGCACCCACATCGAAAGGGAGGGAAGCAGCTTTGCAGGCAGGTGCTGGAGGAATGGCAGGAAAGCGCAGCTCGAGAGGAGAGGGCCTGGAGAGAAACTGCAGAGGAGAGGTGCTGGCCTTCCGCCGGAAGTCCAACAAGTCCCAGGTGAGGTAGAAGAAAAGTCCACGTGAGGCACTTCAGAGTGAACTAAGCACACCAGGCTCAGAGGATCTTCCACCAGCCAGGAAAAGGGCTCAGCCAGGGGGTCAGTGCATCCACAGCTGACTCGGTGGAGTCCACAGTCAGCACCATGTGTTGTCAAGTCCATGCTCAACAGAACCACTCTCCCCAACAGAAAAACAGAAGAATAACTCCCACACACGGCTGAGGGCTCACTGCAAACAAGGCCGTCACCTGCAAGCCTCACTGCAAGCCTCTGGCACGGGCTTCAGAAGAAAGGGAAGGGCCCAGGAAGGATGGGCTCACACCCAACAAGAGCAAGCAACAGAGCAAGGGGCCTGAGGCAGTTCTCAGAACACCACGGCCACCTGGGACCACGGACGCAACAGGAGAGCCAGCCTGGGTCCAAGAAGGCATGACTGGCATGAAAAGCAGTCAGGAGGAGGTAAAGACCTCTAACCAACTCAACTCGGTTAAGTGAAGAAGTGAGAGCCTGTCCATCTCCTACCAAGGTTACTCAACATATGCAGAGAAAGGACAGAACACCCCAAACAGCAGAAGCAAAATCAGAATAAAGGGAGAAAGCAGATACCCAAGTCTAAAACACAAAGGAGGCAGACCGGAAGAGACCTCACTGACGGCAGTGCTGCACACCACCAGCCACGTCTGAGACCAAGACCTCGCCCAGCAAGGACCCGACCAAGTTCCAGGGAGGCACAGGCACAGGCACAGGCACAGGCACAGGCACAGGAGGCCACGGCAGCAGTGGGCCACAGCAGAAACGATGTTTGCAGCCATGGCCAGGACCTTCTAAAAGATACCATGATTCTTAAAGAGGGAAAGGCAGAGCTTCATAATTTTTTTGGGAAAAAAAAAAATGTGTTTTAAGGTAAATGTCCATTCAGCAACTCAAGTTTTTGTTTTTAAGACCACAGAACCAAGAATGGAGAATAGAACATGCTGCCTGCTCCGAAGTCTCAGGCCAACACCTTCAAGAACCAGGATTGGAAATCACCTGGTGAAATGCGTCAGGGTCCCCAGGATTGAAGAGCGAGGGCAGCTTTTCCTCCAGTCCTTGTGCGATTTCTGGCCAGACAGAGTTCACTAAGAAGTCGTACCCGGGAACAGGGGTGGCTCTCTCACTGTAAGAAACAAGCAAGATTCAGTCAGGGCCCCACAGCTCCCACCGCCCAAGAGCAACTTCCACCCTGCAGCTTCTTCCAGGAGTCCCTCAGCCCCATACCCACTCCGACCTTCTTCATAAAGACCACGTGTGCCAGTTAGCTGTCCCCAGACTCGAGTTCCTACTTCACTTCTGGACCTCAATACTGCGTCGGCCCCGACGACTCTCCTGGATCCTGACTCTTACAGCAGGTGTCAAGGATGAGGCAGAACCACTGTGCCCACCTGGGACCACTTCCCTCTCCCACAGGCCACCACCATGAGATTGTTTTGGGAAAGAGTGGTCTCCTGCCTTAGGAAAGAAAACTTTGAAGTCAATGGAACACCACAAACCCCAGGGCACTGCAAATTAAATTAATCCAGTGTCCTCAAGAAGACCTTTAATTCTAAAAGTCTGTGACACTGCAGGTGAGATTCCAATGGCAAAGCTTGAAGCAAAAACTCTCAATGGCCCAATGAGCTTGGTGTGTGTGTTTTGCTGTTTTTTAGCACTGGATATTGGATTTCTAATTCACAACCCTGGCACTGAGATAAAAGCAACACTTCAGAGCCAGTGGAGCCTGAGTTCAAATGGTGGGTCGTGGGCAGACCATCTCACTCCTGTGCTGTGGTTAGTCTTTAAAATGGGCATAGTAACAGCTGACTGCGCAGGGTCGCTGCAAGGACCAACATCTGTAAAGCATCCAGGATAGCATCCAGCACTCGGGAGGCACTGTCAGTCCTGCTGAAGGAAGACCTGAAAGCACCCCTGGCCCTACACACCCATTGCCCACCCCCGACTGCCATGCACTGAGCAAGACGCTCTACTTTAAGATAGTTTTCCTTCAAAATGTGAAGGGATAGATGGTCTCGTTTTGGCAAACCTGGGATCTTATAGCTAACTGCCATTTTGAGTCGGGACTCAGTGTTCTGCCAAGTACTAAACAACATCAGAACCTTGTCTTAGCTGTCCTCCTCAGCAGAACGCATCCAGACAGGAGGTCAGCACAGAAACTGCCTCCTGTCCAGGGGCAGCTTCCATAAGCCCATGCAGTTCATCAAGGTCCTGAAGAAGAACCACTGAGGACAAGGGAGGTGAAGGCAGGTGCCTGCTTCCCTCATGGCCAATGCCACGTGGGGGCGCTACAGACCCTTGAGCAGAATGAGAGACTGCTAGGCAGCTGGCTGTGAGCCACAGATACCATAACACAGTCACAACAAAGCCGACGTCAAGAGACAGGATCGCCTCATTCACACAGTAAACATCTAACTAAATCCCCCAAAGGAATGTTAAGACCTTGCAGGACTAACAGTGAACACAGGGACTAAGAAGAGCTAGTGTGTCACTGGGGAAGGTAAGTCCTGAACGCTGTAGGTGGTGTCAGTTTCCATGTTCTTGGGGGGAGATAGTGAAACAGAAGAGAATAGACAGGGAGGCAGCAGGCATGGGCAGTCTGAGGCCACGAGTGTGCTGGGGAAGGCCCAGGCCCTAGGGCCTGCACTTGAGATGCACAAGGGCCAAGGGGCCAGGAGATGCCTGGGACTCCTCAGCTTCTGCATGAGTCTGCCACACTGAAGCTGCAGAGACTGCCAACGCTGGGTATCTGACACATGGGGACCAAGGCTAGGCTGTTAAGTCTGACAACCGGCTGTTCACAACCATGGCTTCTTCAATTTCATATTGTCTTCTACTGGATGCCTACCCCAAATCCAAGCTCAACACAATCCTCACAAGTGGCACAACGAGGCCTCAATGCACTGGTGCAGTGGACACACGATGGTGCTGGAGAGGCCAAGCAGAGCATGAGAACTTGACCATAGATACTTTTTTTGTTGTTTTTAAGAAACATAAATTTGAGATGCCTGTCCATGAAAACCCTCAGGGACTGCCCTTCACCACTGAGCTCAGCAGGCTTTGGTGAAGCACTCCTGGGCGGCTGCGGTCTTCAAGGCACTGTGTGAGGAGGGGTGGGCCCTGATGGCAGGGTGGCCTCTTGGAAGAGGGATGTCAGCCCACAGAAGCAAGGGCAAGGTCCCTGGAATCCAGGGTATGACTGATGTTGAACATCAGGACAAAGGAGGGTGTCCTGGAAGACAGGGAGTCTTAGCTGGGGCTTCACGAGCAGTGGGGATTCAGTGGGAAGGGCGGGCACCATGAGCACAGAAGGAGGGCTGGGGAAAGGGTGCAGTACTGTGTGGTGGAGGTCCACATGTGCAGGAGCTGCCAGTCCCGACCACGAGAAGCCTCCTCCACTGGGTCCAGGAGTGGGATCCTCCCCACCCAGCCTTCAGAAAGAAGGTCCAGTCTACAGATTGCAGGACTCCCAAAGGCTGGACCATGGCAACGGCTGGAGGACTGGCAGACTCTGGAAAGTACTGAGAAGTCCTGGAGACCAACTATACAGACAGAGGCTGAAGACGGCCTCCCCATCGGCATGAAAGTCATCAGCTGAACTGGTGTTCACACACTAGACCCCGGAATCAGAACTGCAGCAAGTGCAGAGGGGAAAGTGGACAGGCCCTGCTGCAGGGACTCAGCCATGCAGAGGGGAAAGGGGATAGGCCCTGTTGCAGGGACTCAGCCCTATTTCTAGCTTCACAGTGACTTCCTCCTCCGTGAACAAGGCTGAATATACTTGCCCCAGGGCACGGTGGCACGAGCCACCAAATGAGGACACTCCCGGGGACCCTGCTCCTGCAAGCCTGTCCTAGCAGCAGGCCGGGCGCAGCAGTTAGCAGGTGTGAGTCCGCAAGCCAAGGCGGGTTGAGGCAGGGCCCTCAGGTTACCTGGAAACAGCGCCACCTGTGACTTCCCGAAGGAGGCGGCAGTGGTGGGGGACAAACTCCAGGAGCTTATCATATATGACCTGAAGGCCATTGGGATGTGACTCAACAGAGTGTTCCACAATCACCTGGGAAAAAAGCATTTAAAAGTGTAAACTACATACTGCATATGAACAATTAAACAAAACACCTCAAAAACACGCCTCCTGCGCCAGAAAACAGGCCTGTTTCTAAACAGTAAACCCGGTCACACTCAAGGTCAGTTCCTAAGGCACAGCTGTGGCTTTAACCATGGGGCAATGTTGGCCAGGTGATGGGGCCAGGTGACAGGGACTGGCCTAAGCCAGGCAAGCCCCACATTTACCTGTTTCCTGCTGAACTTAAAAAGAAAATAATTTCTTTTAAGAAAAGCATTAAGCCAGAGCACAGGATCCCCTACAGCGCCTCACTGTCCTGCCCTGGCCTCTTCTGTTCTCCTTCAGCTCAGGGCAGGCTGTGAGCCAGAGGTGGGAGAAAGTGCATGTCACCATTTGAATACTGGCATGAGGCTGGGAGTCAGAATGAAAAACTCTTACCCTCAGGTCACTGAGCATGACCTCTGCTCATCCTGCACTTGCTGAGCAGAGAATGTTCAGTGAGAGGCAAGCTCCACACACTGTGGGTGGCCTGTCCCCTGCATTCCCTCCTATCTCCAATGAGGCCCCAACAGCAGTGGACCCAGGCAGTAGTGCACCTTGCTGTCGTACTATGGGAGTCCCTGCCTTGGGTCTTCCTCTCGCCTTCCTGGCTCAGCACACTCCCCCGTATTTGGGGGCCCAAGTGTTACCTGCTCCCTGCACACCTGGGGGAGCACCACTACCTCCCTGTCTCTGCCCTCTCCCATGCTCCAGTGCTGTCCTCAGCTTACCTGGGGCTTCCACCTGAGACCACTGGCTCAAACGCTGTCCAACCTGACGGGGGCATGACTGACTAACCACACCAGAGCTGAAGTGCATGGTGATATCCCTTCCCAGTGAGGATGACCCCTCAGCTGTGGCATCACCAGAATACCACAGAGCGTGCTGGGGCACACTGATGTACAGACGGGACTGGCCTCCTCATGGCTGGCCTGCAGTGACAGGGCCCCTCCCAGGAAGACCTCTGGTGCACCGGCCTCCTCCCAGCCCCCAGCAGAGTGGCAGCAGAGAGCACTGCTCTCCAGGTGCGCAGGGCGCACCTCATCTACGTACGGCTTCACCAGGACCTGGCCGACCAAGGCCTCAGCGTCCCGCGTCTTGTCGATGGTGGCGTAGGTCCGCAGGCAGTGCCTGATGACGTCCACATCGCAGGTCTGCAGCCCTTCCAGCAGGAGGCCCTCCAGAGACTGCTGCAGCACTGCTGTGATGCCTGCGATCCGCTGTGGGCAATGGCAGGACAGCCCCGTCAGAACCACTCCTATGCCTCCAGGGCACGCCACTGTGTCTGACCCCAAAGAGGATGTGTGACGCTTAAACACCGACATTTCCTGAGGCTGAGGCATAAGAACAAACTCCCCTTTGCCCTAGTCTCTCTGTGAGTCTATCTCTGGTTCACCAAAGAACGGAGACCTGGCCTGGGGCTCAGTGGCAGAGCACTTGCCTAGAATGTGTGAGGCACTGGGTTCCATCCTCAGCACCACAAAAAATAAACAAATAAGCAGGACACAGTGGTGCACACCTATAACCCCAGCAGCTCTGGAGGCTGAGGCAGGAGAATGGCGAGTTCAAAGCCAGCCTCAGCAAAAGCAAGGTGCTAAGCAACTCAATGAGACCCTGTCCCTAAATGAAATACAAAATGGAGCTGGGGATGTGGCTCAGTGATCAAATGCCCCAGAGTTTAATCCCTAGTACCAAAAATAAAAATAAATTAATTAATAAAAAAACAAATAAAATAAAGGTATTGTGTCCATTTTTAGTTGTAACTAAAAAAATATTTAAAAAAGAAAAAAGAATATAGACCTAATTGCAGAATGAGAAAAGGTTGTTTTTCTTTAAAGCTGCAGAGCAAACAATTTTGATTAACATTACAGACTTAAAATCCAATCAAGGTCACCGGAAGAATTATAGCTGTCTTACAACATACATCAAATCACATAAAATTCAGAATCATTACTCTTGGAATGTAGGAAATGTGACTGAACTTTACACAAGATCTATAACATATGACACTTAGAAGAAAGGCCCCCAAACTCAAAACCGACAAGAAGTCAAGACTAGTTCCAAACCAGCACAGGCACATCCCCAGACTAACCAACCACCCTGCAGGGGCCAGGCTAGGGGCTGAGAGGCAGCCATGACTCACCGGCCTCACCATGTCCAGCAGAGGCATGCCCTTGCTTTGGACCGCATGGAACTGCAGCTGGTTGAACTCTGTGGCGATCCTCTCCAAGGTCTGTCCAGTCAGCAGGGGGCTGGGGATGATAAGCAGAGCCTGATGCCTGGGAAGGTACAGAAGAGCACCACAGACAGCAGTGTGCCACCACCCAGCTTGTCAGGTGGCTCCATGGGTATTCTGTCACAAGGTCAAAGCCAGGTTTCCCTGCCATCAGTCTGCTCTCTCTCTGGGCCACAGGACAGTGCATTATAGCTGGTCGCTGGTGGGCAACGAGTCCTGCACAGGCCGAGCATGAAGCCACAGGGCTGCGCAGCCCACGGAGGTGCACCTTTCCCAAGCTCCCCATTCCCAATCTCCATTCTCTCTCTCCCTCTCCTACCTTTTCCTCTCCTGTTCTCTACCTGCTCATTCTTCCCTCTTCTGAAATACCTCTAATATTTCTCAAATGCCAAAAGCTCATGTAATAGCTTACTTTAAAATTAAGTTATGCACAGCAGAAATAGCAATCGGGCTATCGGGCTATTTGCTCCGAGTCCTAAAGAGGACACTTATTGAGTGAGGCCGAATCTATCTGTGATAAATGCACTTCTGTCTCTAAACACACACTGGAGTGTCAACACCAATCAAGAGGAGGAAGCCAGCAAAGGAGAAATACAAAGGTACTTCCGCTGGACAAGCGGCAAGTGAGCAGAAACACACAGAAGATCCTGTCCAGACAGAGAGGAGGGGACCCCCTGCGGGAACGCTCGCCCATCACTAACATGCCCTGGCTGGGGACACCCTGCGGGAATGCTCGCCAGTCACTAACATGCCCTGGCTGCACCTTCTCTATAGCTCAAGGCTTGCTGATGCCTCTGAAGGTGATCCAGAGCTAAAGGAGCTCAGATCTGCTGCATTAGGATGGACACTGCCAGGGAAGGTACAGGAGAGCACTCAGGGACCAGTGGGTGAGGTCTGGCAGCTCTCCTTAGGTACCACTGGTTCCACACTGCAGGTGTAACAAGGGAAGCCTGGCCTCATGTCAGGGGTCTTACAGTCTATTGAGAAAGCACACAACTTAGTCCATGGCTCCAACTCACAGAGAAGCTCCCTGGAGGCTGCTGGAAGCACAGAGCATCTGAGAGATAAGGGATGACCTCCTGGAGGAAGTAATCCTGCAGTCCAACCTATAAAAGGTAACTTTTTCAGTGTCTTGTTGGGACATTCACTATAGTCCCAACTGGGCCTGAGTTTAAAGACAGCAGGGGGACGACAGTATCCAAGGCAGGAGAGAGGAGTGAATTTTAAAAAACAAATCCATAGTGTTTCTGCAGTTAGCACAGTATCTTAAACAACCACCTCTCCACACCTTAAGCATGCTGTGAGCTAGATGTGGAAGACACAAAAAGAAAGTCAGGCAGACCACAGGGGGCAAAAGTGAAGGAAGCCTTGGAAGACAGACAGCCACAGGTAACTTGTGGAACGTACTTCACAGGGTTCACCATCAGGGAACCACGGTAGATCCAAACAGCGGTACAGAAATGGCCAAGAGGGGCTTAGGAGGTCAAAGGTGAGCTGCGACTGGACCAATCTGAAAAATCAGACAGGCAGCTTCGGAGTCAATGCATTAGAGAAGGTGAATGGCCAGCCAGGAGGCCAAGCCTGAAAGAGGCAGTGGGAGAGGGAGGCAAGAAGCAGACACCTCCAGGTCTGCAAGCGAGGCAGCCACACCCACTGCAGGACTGCCTAGTGTGCCAGAGAAGAGGAGAGGAGGGACAAAGGGAAAGTGAACCCTGAGGACTCTAAGCTGGGTCCTAGGGAAAGGAGGCACTGTTTCCTGAAACAAGAGAAGAAAGAGGAGAGTGTTTTACAGGTGGAGAGAGGTGGAGAAGGGTCACAAGTCCAGTTTTCAACAAGATCAATGCGAGGAGCCTGTAGAACAGACAGGAGACTCCAGTGGTTGGGCTGACCACGTCTAAGGATAGAGCAAAGAGCCCAGCTCTCCAGGGTGGTCAAGACCAGAACAGCAGGTAAAGGTACCCAGAGAGTGCAGACAAGGAGTATGGCCCTGAGGACTGACACCAGCAGAGCTGGCATCAAAGGGGACATGCAGCCTGGAGGAGGAATAGCTGGAATAGGCAAAGACAGAGGGCGGGCAGGGTGTGCCACGAGAGGGCACAGGTGGAGGGCTGTTACTGCAGTGGGAGGAGAACAGGTAGAGGAGCTAAAGACAACCAAGACGCCACTGACTTCTCAGTGCTAAGGTGACAACACAAGTGACACAAAGGGGCAGAAGCACCAGTATGGAGGCCTGCAGTCCCTGACCACTCCCTAGACACCCTGCCTGAGCAGGTGAGGCCTTGGAGCACACTTCCCTCCTCAGCCGAGAGGCAGGAGCCAGCTGTCCTAAGGCCCTCCACATCTGAGTCAAGGTTCCTGGAAGGCAAGAGCAGACCTTTACAGGACGACCAGTTCTATCTGGTCATGGTGGCCTCCCAGAAGCTCATCCCAGCTTTTTGGGGAAGGGCAGTGGCTGCCAACAGGATTGAGGGCCTGCGAGGTGCAGGCACCAGCCGGCTGCCCCCAAGCCTCAGGTGGCGCTCCAGCAGTGCAGCCTCACTCCACAGGTGGCACTCGGCCTGGCTGGTGTGCAGCACCAAGCTGTGTCCTCCCACTGCACCCAGAACCTTCCGGTGGGGATCCTGCTGGGGTCTGCAGGACCTATACCACTCATTCCTGAGTCACTCATCTGCCCACTGGCATGAAACTCAGAGTGGACGGTAAGACAGCGATGGTGTGATGAGGAAAAGGCTGTCTGTATCCAGCAAGGAGTTTCTACTTCAACATCTACACTTCAACCACAGTGTACTGTCCTGCTCCTAAACGACACAAGCATGCTGACCTGAGACACGTCAATGGCAATGCCTTGGCCTACTGAAAAAGGAGGGCTAAGATGAATGTGGTTTCCCCAGATCAGCAGGACTCCGCTAGTTCATGGGTGAGCAGCTCAGAGGTAAAACCTTCCACAGCAGCACACTGCCTGAGCCCCAGAAAGGCGGGCGGGAACCGCGCCCTGCAGCCTCCAGGCCCGTCAACTCTGGCACTCCACTTTTCTTGAGCTACTTTTAAAAATACTAGGCCAGGGCTGGGGTTGTGGCTCAGTGGTAGAGCGCTTGCCTAGCATGTGTGAGGCATTGGGTTCGATTCTCAGCACCACATATAAATAAATAAAATAAAGATCTATTGATAACTTTAAAAATATTAAAAGAAAAAAAATTAAAAAACAAAAAACACTAAGCTAGAGACTTGGATTTTCTTATGGGGTTTTCCCCTCAGAGGAAACGAATACTAACTCCAAAAAATCTCCAGCCTGGGTGTGAAGTATTTAGTAAAAATACTTACCTGCTTGCTTCTAGTGCAGATGTCTCTTTAGAACTTTGAGAATTTAGGATTTTTTCAATTTTCTCAACAGATCGAATAACTTGCATCAGCCTCAGCACACACATCTGTGAAAGTGAACATCAGGCAAAGAGAAAGTCATCAGCATGCTTCATCGCAACCACCGCATCTCCCCACGTAAGAGGAGGCAGAGAGCAGCGCCAACACAGGATACTCAGAGCCTCCACGTTTTCACAACTTCCATAGCACATCAAATTCCCTAGAGAGCAAGTCTTCACCTTGGCTTTCCAGAACCAGCACGTTTCACTATTCTTATTTTACAGTTAAACAAACACAACACGTCACTGCTTTCCCAAACCTGCATCCTTCTTCTTTTCTACTTTCCTTATCTTAAACAACCTTTCTTTTGGTGCTACATTCATTTTCCTGAGACCATTCTTCAGGTTTTGTTTTGATTCACAATCACCCGGATCCTCTTGAATTACATGAGCCTGCTGTACCCACACACTCAAAGGTCGATTCATTACAGACACCAAGAGATACAGTTATTCCTAAAGGAACGGGTGCTGGGCTGGGTGGCTCAGGGCAAACAGTGCCTAGCATGAGCATCCTAGCATGGTCCATTTTCAGCACCAAATTTTAAACAAACAAAAAACCCAGCAGAACCATGGCTACTAAGCATCTGCTGGGAACACGCTGCTCCAGACACTGGGAACAGGAGCTCTCTTAGAGAGGTGCCACGTTCTCAGCCGGAAAAGCTGAGAGGGGCCTTCAGGAGAACCATTTGGAATCGAAGGTCTCCAAATCAGGCTCTGGGCAGAGCACATTCCAGGGTGAGAATTACAAATTCTAAATCCAACTAACTCAGCCAGTATGACTAACGATCACACACACACACAAAAATCACAAAGAAAGTTCAAGTTCACCCAGAGCCACTGCACAGCGAGGCAGTGCCTAAGCCATGACACAACGGGGAGAACAGGTAGACTGGGCAGGCCTGAAGCGTGGTACCCCCTCCCCAGAGCAGGAGCCTGCAGGGGCAGCCTGGGGGGACGCTGCAAGAGTGCTCCGGCACCTCCAAAAGACACAGAGGACATGGCTGGGAAGCGGCTAGCTCGCCTGCTCTGAAGGCTTCATGCCCTTGAGCCAGCTTCTTCCTCTGAAAAAAGTGGAATTTTAAAATACAACCACTCGGAAACTCTGTCCTCTGTCTTTAGTAGGTAATGTGACTGAAAAGAATGAGATGGCAGTGGGAAACGGGGTTGGCTGGTCACATATTTCTTTAAAAATGTTAATGCTCCCACAAATAAAGCACAAGAGCAATATGCAATTTCCTTTTAGAAAGTCCTTACTTTCCTCACCCATTTTACCACAGGACCTAACAGACCAGGAGTGAGAAGGCCTGGGCACTGCCCCTCAGCACGTGGCCGGGCCGCAGATCCCTGAGCTCGAGGAACACCACGCTCCTCCCCACCAAGGCCTCAGACCATAGGCCCCACAGTCCAGCAGCTATAGCTGCACGAGCAGTGGAGGCTCTGGGGTCAGGTGTCAGGGTTTACCTTTTTATTCCTAATGTCCTCTTGTTTTGACATTCGTTCATCCACTGCCCGAATCCCTTCACTGACAGTTGACCTAAGACTCTAAAACAATGAAGAGGGTGTACTGAAAAAACTGTTTTGTAACATCACAAAATTTACACACTTAATTCATTTCCAGAGGACTCAGTGTCTACAGGCCAGGACTGTGCAGATACTGACAGAATTTCAAAGTAGTAGGCACAACTGTTGTCAGGTTATTCAGGCAAAGTGACATGAAGCCACAGTCACATTGAAGTAGCTGCCAAAATAAAATAATCCAGGTAGGACAAGCACTTAGGCAGTCAGGGCAGGGAGGGTAAACCTGGCAGCCCCTGGGCCTCTGGAAGAGGGTGGGGCCCAGGCAGACCCAAGGAGCCTGCGGGCGCTGCTGAGCACAGAGGGGCCTCCAAAGACGGGTGGGGACAGACACCTAGGCCTGCCGGGCACACACCCAGGTGCACCACAGACCTGGGGGAGAAGAGCAGAATTCAGAGAGGGGCTGGCTTTGGAGGGCGTGGCCCGGACAGGTCTCAGGACCAGCTCCTATTCGCTCTGACACTGACAGGTTGTGATGAGGATGGCCTATGGGGAAATTCAGGAGTCAAGAAGCCTGAATGGATGGCCAGTAAAAGGGGGAGGTCACAGGCGGAAAAACAGGTTAGGTCATAAGCTGATGACTCAAGCCAAGCAAGGGATCATCAGGGACAAGACTAAAATGAGGTAATGGAAGCCACATGATAAACTGGACAGATCACGAAAGTTCTACAGCAAAGTAAATCCATTCATTCAACAAACATTAGGAATTTCCCATTGAATGTCAGCTACTAAAACACGAAAACGCAACAGAGAAGACAGTCTCAGCTCTCAGGGACCTCAGAATCTCAGAGCAGCTTCAAAAAGGAGGCAAAAGTCTATGGCCAAATCCTAGGGGAAGCGGTAGCCACATGCGTGGCTGCAGGAAAAGGTGGGGACAGGGTGCTGGCAGGTGACAAGTGACAGCAGAAGTCAGGAGGGCAACAGATGAGATGGAGGCTCGGGAAAGGCCCATCCACAGGGCTGGACAGGAGAGTCTAGGAAGCCAAGGAGGGTGTGGAATCTAGCAGTAGACCACTGCACAGACAGCTACCTTGACACACTTTTTAAAAATCAAATGAAATGTAAATGTTCAAGACACAGATCAGGACTTCTCTCGATGTTCACATCGAGAACATGTGAACATCTGGCCTCCTCCTGTGGACCTTACTTTGTCTTCCCAGCCCCACACAGAGACTCAAAGTCTCCTCATGTTGTATCTCAGAGCTGACCATGTGCCAGGCACTCTTAGGGACAGTACACAGGCGGTCCTGGCTGCACACAACCCAGTGGTCTACACAGGAAATGACAGTGTAGTGCACCAAGCCTGTGACAGCTCATCTGTGCTGGGGGCCCCAAGTTGGGAACTGACAGAGACGGGGAGGTGGCTCGAGGGCAGTGGACAGGGTAGCATGTCCACTGTCCCAAAGGCACAGAAAGCTGATTGAGGGCCTTGTCCATGCTGACCTAAGGGCAAACACTGCCAGAACTGTCCCTCTACTGTTCAAGGCTAGAGGTGGGGAGTCCCATTCCCACAGCCAGCCTGGTCTGAGAAACATAAAAACACCATGTCTATTAGGATTACATTAACTTCATATCATCCTCAGTTGCACTGGGCTAAATGGCTTCTGTGAGCTGCTCTAGGAACCTAACCACACATGAAACACCAGTTGGGGAAACACTTGGACAATCACAAATGTTTAAAACACAGTGCACTTGCAAGCTGGTGACTGCTTATTAAGGAGATGTTTTCAAAAAACCTCTTTCTTCCCACATTTTAACGCTAACTCTAAGAATCTGTCACCTTCAAATCAAAGACTTTTTTAGGTTGCACTATCACATGCAAACAAAAAGAACCACTTATTCTTACTTTTTTGAGTGAGTGCTGTAATTTCTGATCATTCAAAAACAGCAACAAAACAAGCACATCATGCTTTATGGTAGTCTGTTTAATGTTATTTGGGGACTTACCAGAACCTCCTCTCGTAACTGTCCCAAAGGCACAGAAAGCTGGTTGAGGGCCTTGTCCATGCCAACCTAAGGGCAAAAGACACTGTGGCACAAACACTTCACAGGCAAGAGTGGTGGTAAGCATCTATCTAATGGCTGAAGCAGTACTAGACTTTTTAAAAAATCGTATTAAAAAATCTGTTTATACATGTGAAATCCACAAAGGTATGGGAAGTTATCATCAACAAAAGGCTCCCTTGACACATCTGCCTCTGGATGAAAGTTCTTAATGACTGAAAACTTTTGGAGGTGAACTTATGACGTCCAACCAGTTGGCACAAGAGCCTGATGAACAACAGCTTGACTTGAGAAAATCTGAATTAAATAGGACAGGAGTAAAGTCTCCTGGGTTTCTAATCCCACTGAAGGTTTAGCCCGCAGTGTGTTTCCCAAAACCAGTGTGGCTCATTCAGTTTAATGCCTCTCAAAATTTCCATGGAGGTGTTTACTTTCTGTACTTCTTTCCATGCACAGATTTAAGAGCAAAATAAAATATGACCAAGAAGACTACAAAGCAAATTTTGGGAGCATTAAAACCCAAGCATTTCTAAACTACTTTTACAAACTACTCAGTGAAACTTATTCTCACAGTTTATAAAAATCAAGCCTCCTGGAGATCCCTAGTGGCCACTGCCAACTTGGCTCTGGCTAGCACACATATCTGAAAGCAAACTAAACATTTCCTTGAGGACAAATTAGCTGGTTCCAGCGCACTTTCCTGGGGCCAGCAGCAGCTGCCCCTATTCCGCCCTGGTACCTTTACTCTTGGGCCTTGACACCTGCTCAGGACAAGCAGGAGGCAAGTCCTGGATGAGCAGGAACTACAAACAAGAAGGTATACCAAGGAAGTCCAGTTCTACTACTAAAAAGTTTCTGAGCACACTCCACATGAGAGAAATCATGTGTGCGCACAGTGAACAGCAGGGACCAAGGCTCTGTTACCAGGTTTGTCGAGAGGTTGACGAAGTCGGCGTAGTCCTTGTTGATGAGCTCCACCATGGCTGTTTTAAGCAGCCTGTAATACAGCTCCAAGTCATCCCTCAGCTCCTCTAGCTGCACCCGCTTCCTACAGTCAGACACAAAGTGGTCGACGTCGAAATCTTCCTGGAAAGTAAAACCAGGAGAGGGAAGAATGACTGCGGTGTCCCCAGGTTTCCTATGCAGAGGGAAGAGACAGCACTCCAATCACTCATAGGCCAGCACTGTGCCGAGGGGAGCACCTGCTGGTCACCTCATGAGGGCACCCAGAGGGGCCTGACGAGGAACTCCTCCATGGAGTTCAACTCAACTCTACAGAGGACTGTTTTCAAGATGATATTTCAGCTGGATGCTTCTCAGAACAGGAAAGCTTTTTTCTCCTGAATTTTATAAGTGATAAATGTGCAATGCAAGATAGGATTAAAAAAAACACAACCAACTTCCAAGCTTCAGGGATAAGCACTACTGATGTGTACTTTGACACTATTTAACACTGAGCTTTACCTCCTTGCAGACCTTTTCCCAGACCACAAACACACAGGTGTGCACACACAACCTTAACATGCAGGCCTGTGTGTAACTGCTTCTCCCAAGCACCACCACCTGAGTGTGTCTGTGGCACACAGAAGTCTGCACAAAGTCTGAGGTCAGCCTGAGCAATACAGCAAGACTCCATCTCAAAAAATTAATAACAATAATATGCAAAGATGGTTTAATCAAAAAATCTATTAATCCATCACATCAACAGAGAAATGTGATATTAACAGATGCAGAAAAAGCATTTGAAAAAATCCACACCACTCATGACAAATACATTCTGAAAACCAGAAACAAGATGGGAAAGTTCCTCAACTCTACAGACAACACCTACAAACAACCCACAGCTAAACTTCTGTCAAGGGAGAACATAGACTCCTCCCCTTAAGATGGGGAACAGGCAGGAATGGCCCCTCTCACTAATCCTGCTCAATAACTCTATGTTTAAGCGAACAGAAGGACATACAAGATGTACCGACGGGGAAGGAAGACATAAAATTGCTTTTGTGCTCTGATGATGTAATGGTATAGAAAATCCCAAAGGAAACCAACCCAAAACAACAATGCCCCTGGAACTCATACACAACAGTAGCAAGGCAAGTTGCAAGGAAAATATTTTTAAAAACCCAACTATTCTCCCACAAGCCAGCAGGGAACAAGTGGATTGAAAGTAAAAGCACAACACAGCTGGGCGTGGTGGCGCATTCCTGTAATCCCAGCAGCTTCAGAGGCTGAGGTGGGAGGATCATGAGTTCAAAGCCAGCCTCAGCAAATGCAAGGTGCTAAGCAACTCAGTGAGACCCTATCTCCAAAGAAAGAAAATACAAAATAGTGGTTGAGTACCCTGAGTCTAATCCCCAGTAACCCCAACAACAACAAAAAAGCACAACACATTCACATTAGCACACAAAGTACAAATTTAACAAATTGCACAAGATCTACATGAGGAAAACTACAAAACTCCAATGAAAGAAAGCAATGTAAGACCTAAAACATGTAGAGATATACCAGTTCATGGGTAGTAGGAAAACTCAATATCCTTAACTCAGTTCTTCCCCAATCAAAATCCCAGGAACTATGGGTTTATTAATAGAATGATTCTAAAGCATATTTGGAAAGGCAAAAGACTGAGACTATCCAACACAACTCTGAAGAAGAAAAGCAAATCCAGAGGACAGACACTATCCTTCCTTAACACTTTTAACATTTCCTATTAAAGCTACTGTCACTAAGGCCACTGGGTCTGGCCAAAGAACAAAGACCAGGGTAACAACAAAGCACCCAGAAACAGCCACACAGACAGAGTAAGCAGATCGCTGACACAGGGCCCAGGCAAAACCAAGAGGAAAGATGGCCACTTCAAAAGGGATGCTGGCGAAACTGGACCTCCATGTGTAAAAAAACCCAGCTGGGCTCAATGGCACACACACCTATAACCCAGCAATTGGGAGGCAAAGGCAGGAGGCTCACAAGTTCAAGGCCAGCCTGGGCAACTTAGCCAGACCCTGTCTCAAAATAAACTTAAAATGCTCTAGGGTGGGGGTCGCTGGGGTTGTGGCTCAGTGGTTAAGCGCTTATCTAGCATGTGTGAGGCTCAGGGTTCAATTCTCAGCATCACATATAAAAATAAAATATAGGTCCATCAACAGCTAAAATTAAAAAATTTTTAAATTAAAAAACAAAACAAAAACAAAGCTTTGGGATGTGGCTCAGTGGTAAAGTGTTCCCGGAGTTCAATTCAGTACCAAAAAACAGAATTTTCAAAATGGATCATAGACCTAAATTTAAAACACAAAATTATAAAACTTCTAAGAGATAACACAGGAGAAAAGTCTAGATGATCTTGGCTTCAGCAATGACTTTTTAGACACAACACCAAAAACAATTTAGGAAAGAAAATATTGATAAGCTAGACTTCCATTCAAACCAAAAGCTTCTGCTCTACAAGACACTGTCCAGTGATGGAAAAGACAGACACAGGCTGGGGGAAAATATTGACAGGACAGATAACCTGAAAAAGGTGCTGAACCCCAAATACAGACAGAAGTATTAGAAACAACAGAAAATCTTGCAGCCTATATGGAAAACGGCATGAAGGCTCCTAAAAAGTAAAAGAACACCTTTGGACCCAACAACTCACTGCTGGGACTTATCCAAAGGAAATGAAGTCCCTCTTGGAAGAATCTGCAGGCCATGTTCACCACAGCTATGACAGGTGGCCAGTGTCCACCTCCAGGTAAAGGCACAAGGCAAACACAGCGCACACCATGTGCCTGCCCAGCAAGGAAGGGATGCCTACCACCTGCCACCAAGCTGATGGAGACAGTGACGTGAGACACAGGAACACAGGCACCGCGTGGCCCCACTTACACACAGCACCTTGGAGTATGCAGAAGGGTGGACATCAGGGCTGTGGGTGGGGTCCAGGGGTACAGACTTCACGGATGAAATGAACGCACTCCAGAGAGCAAACCTACAGCATAACTGTAGTTTAATAATCCGGCTCCAAAAAGTGGATTTTATGCCCTCTGACCACAGGGAACGGGGAGGGTCAGCACAGGAGGGTAGTATGACCCTCAGTAGTCATACTAGCATGACTATGGCAATCACTTCACAAGCATCAGAGAAGATGGACACCATTCAGTGATGACGACCTTAGGCCTGAACCTAAGCAACTCCACTTTAAAAACTCCAGTTTGACACCTGCAGTCTCATCAGGCATGGCCAATGGAACCCTCCAGCATGGCCCTCAGGCACAAACAAGTCACTTCCCCCACCTGATAAACTCAGAATGAAGCCTCCGTCAGGCTGCCCTCACTGGATAAGAGGGAAAGGTGAAAAGATCAAGGTGGGAACCACCAGAGCAAATGTTTTAACCCCAGGGTAAATGATGTCACTAAGAGATCCAAGGGACAGATGATAAGGTTTGAAAGGGAGGTCAAAAGCCCCAAAATTTGGTATAAATAATAGAGCAAATGAAGAGACATTCAGCCAGCCAACACTGATGCCCTCATGCTGAGAGCCTGATGAGGACGTGGACTGATATCCCAATTCTTCTCATCCTTTGCTGATCCTCTGCATCTTCCTCATTGCTCTCAAACTCTGCAGTCATATCTTGACCCTGGGGAGAGCCACAACTTCTCCCTACCACCCTTTCCTCAGTCAGCTGTCAGCTCTACCCTAGGAGAAGCCTGTCTTGGTTCCTGATCTGATCACCTCGGTGTAAGTGTGTACCTGCTGGACTTAAAGCCTAGAGCTTGAGACTTTAGATCGGACACTTGAATTTAGCATGCAGAGGGAATGTCTGTCATGAGCCTGTCATGATTAAGTGTGTTTGCAGTGCTTAGAATTAATCTAGAATTGTTTGCTGTGAATTGATTGTCTATTGCAGTGCCCAGCATTAAGGATTATCGTTTTCTCGATTAAGAACCTACAGAGTGAAATGGTATTGAGTGATTTGAGTGAATAAAGCATTGACTAGGGCAGAAGTGCGTGGATATTCTTTATTTCTCCCCCTGTACTGCATAAGTCGCACTTTTTGCTCATCACGACACATTTCTGAACACAATTTTTGTTTGCCAATCGGTAAGGGGGCAATAAGAAATAATGTACTTTAAAAATGGGCAAAAGATCTGAAAACATGACGGATATCACGTGTTCTTAGGGAGTTGGGAAGGTAAACAAGGTGCCAGGATGCACCAGATGCTGGCGAGGGTCTGCAGCAGCAGACACTTCCACTTCTTGCTGATGGAAGCTGTGGTACAAACCCTTTCGTCACTGTCTCCAGCTCCTGTCCGTGCATCCAATGCCTGGCAGCCCACCTTCCCCCTCTGGCCACACTCACTCCATCTAACCCATAGGCGGAGCCAGCTTACCAGGCGTGCTAGACTAGACTCCCTTCCTTAGTGAAAGGCCTTGGCCTCAGCCCTGAACGCAAGGCAATGCACCTCAGCTCTGGCTCGTGAGCTCTTGATGTTACTCTGAGCATAGAGCTCCTCCTATTGAGACAAGGTGCCTTGCTTCTACTTCTCCAATGCCAAAGCCTGGGAGTCAGCAGACAGAGGCCCTAGTTTGCCCTCACTAGGGGTATGACCTTAGGGAGGCGAACCACTTATGGGCCTCAGCTTCCTCATCTGTAAACCAAGAAAAGAGTACCAGTTTCTTTCCTTTTTTTTTTTTTTTTTTTTTCAGAAAAAACACAGAATGTCAAGAGCTGGAAGGAACTGCAAATATTAATCAGATAAATGCCACCCTATCATACTAACAAGGAGATATATTCCAGAGAAGCCAGTGTTCTGCATGGTCACATGGGCAGTCAGCAGAGCTGAAACTGGAGTGTGTACCTCATGCTGTCACTATTCGATCAGTAGTGTCTCTACACCAAGACAAACAGGTGGCCCTGGACACTTGCTTCAATATTCACAATGCATCCAAATAAAATACCGAGGACTCTCAAAGAGTGGTTCATCTCCCACTAGTTCATTAACATATTGTTGACACTGACAGTCACAAGGACGCTCCCAATTTCTCATGTCATTAAAGAGGTATGAAGTGCCAGTCCAGAGGTCTAATAACGCCACCAACAGGTGGAGGCCCTAGAAAGGACCTAAGTTCAACACAGGCAGATTTAGACTCTGACTGAAACAAACTGCATGCCATTAAGGATTACCTGCCAATGGAATGAGTGCACTGTTGTGGAATATTCTCAAGATGTTTTGGGAAATGTTTTCTCTCGGCCAGGCACACAGACCAGCCAGTATACTTGCAAGATCAGATATGCATTTTGAAAAGAGCATCCTGCCTGCAATATAGAAAAAGGATTAGACAAGGCTACAAGGGACGAAGGAAACTCAGAAGCAGCCATGAGTACAATGGCCCAAAATAAAATTAACTCAGAAGGTCATGGAGGAGATTGAGAGAAGATGAGTTCAAGAGACACTTAGGGGGCTGGGATTGTACCTCAGCAGTAGAGCGCTCACCTAGCACGGGCACGACCCGGGTTCAATTCTCAGCACCACATAAAAAATAAAGGCATTGTGTTGTGTCCATCTAAAAAAAAAAAGATTCTCTCTCTTTCTCTCTCTTAAAAAAAAAAAAAAAGAGGCATTTAGAAGTGAAATCATGAAGCCTGGTAACAGACTGGACTATGGAAAGGGGAAAAGAATCACTCATCTGGGACTGGGGTTGTGGCTCAAGTGGTAGCGCACTTGCCTAGCATGCGTGAGGCACTGGGTTCGATTCTCAGCACCACATTAAAATAAAAATAAAAAATAAAAGATATTGTGTCTATCTAAAACTAAAAAAAAAAAAAGGAGCACTCATCTTCTGGCTGGGTGGTGGAGTATTTTCTGGACAGGTAAGACGAGAAGGTAAAAGGCTTCAAGGGAAGGAAGTTCACTCCTCTGTTTCCCACACATCCAGCTTTAAACATGCTGAATTTGAGGTGCAGGGTTACCCCAGAAGGACGTCAGGGAGCTGAGTACACAGAATTGGAGATCAGGAGACACACATGCCAGAGACAGGAACCTGTGTCACCTGCCTATAGGTGGTCAGTGAATCTGCATGGAGCACATCACCAGGGCACGTGAAAAGGAAAGTACACATGACTGAGCCTATAGACAGCCATTCAGTGGCTATGAGAGGGACAATGACTATTTAAAATAAAGCCAGAGAGCGTCTCTGAAAAAGCAATGGTCTGCTGAGGTGAAGGAAGGAGATGGGAAAGGTGTACTAGATCAACATCCGCTGACTGTGAGAACTATGCAGAGGAATACTGGGGCCGTAAGTCAGCAGGAAGTGACCGTGAGTGAAAGGTGACAACTCTGAATCCCGGGGTTCCAGGGAAGAGCTAAAGGTGGGGGACTGAGGGGAAGAAACTAAATCACAAGCACATGTGTGAAAGCCAGTGGGGAGGCATGGGGAGAGGGGTAAGAAGGTTCTGTGAAGATGAGGACATGCCAGCCAGCAACAGTGCACAGTTCAGAAGGCCAAGCCCCAGACCAGTTGGGGAAGGCAGGATTGAGACTGTTAGCAGCAGCTGAGGATATACCCATCTGATGGCCTGTGAAGTCACACAAGGAGACAGAGGAAGGATGTGATTTCAAAAGTATGCCCATGTTCATGGTCTAACTTGTCCTTGTTAGCACACCACCTTCTCTCCTACCACTGAGCCTTATGTCCTACTTCCTGTCAACTGGCTGCCAACCCTAAGGGTTAAGCAACCTCCTGTTATTAATCAGTCCCAATGCCACGAATGTGACTATATAATTTCCCACTTTAAAGTTGACTGTAAGGGCTGGGGATGTGGCTCAAGCGGTAATACGCTCGCCTGGCATGCGCAGGGCACTGGGTTCGATCCTCAGCACCATAAAAAATAAAATTTAAAAAAAGGATGTGTCCGCCAAAAACTGAAAAATAAATATTAAAAAATTCTCTCCTTAAAAAAAAAAAAAAGTTGACTAGCTCCACAATGAACTTTGCATGGAGCACAAATTCCTCAAATATCACACAAGGCCCATTCCAACTTGCAACCCCACCCCACCTACTGGTCCAGTCTCCTTTCTGACATCCTCCCACACTCAAGCTACTCTAAGTGCAAGTTTTTGGATGCACATTTTTGGGTGCCAAACCTTACCTCCTCCTTCATATCTAGATTTGCACAAAGGCGGTAATCAATCAATGCCCACTAACTGAATAAACAATTGCTACCATTGCCCAAGCAGGCTGTCACCATCTTAGGAAAACTAATGTCCTGTCAAATGACTGGACTTCAAATAACCTCAACTCTCCTAATGGATACCTGACATTTTAACCTCATGCATAATACCTATACCTGCTACAAAAATGTAAATGAGGCACAAATGTACAAACCACCCAGCAAGCACTCCACACATCTTTTCTGCCACAAAATCGTATGCATGTCTTCCTGAAGGAAACAGGAATTGCAAATAACTTTTAATTTCCAGTTCCACCTAGGATATCAACATTCCACACAGAACAGCCGTTCTCTGTATTTTCTTCTATATGCAAGTGGTTACATATATCAGAGCTACAAACTTCATGGCATATTGAGAAGTGTAAGAGCCATGAAAAAATATGCATTCCTGTTGCTAATTCCAAGATCTGTTTTATGACTTGTATTTTGTGCTTTCTACTTTCTGAAGCTGTACTTATCAAAGGCATCTGTCAGCTCTGAGTGAGAAAGACAGTGGGACTAGGGAGTCAGAAAAGATGCTGGCTCTGGGCCTGAAGGAACGCAAGTCTAGAGGTGGACAAGATTCCTGAGGTCAGAAGGTCCCTTATCTTGGCAGTCCTTTCTTCCTTCAGGATACCTCTCCCCATGATGTGGCTAGTTCTTCCCACTCTTTCAGGGCAGCTCTCAGCAGGGGGTGGAACACTGGGTTTCTGGATCAGTTGGCAGTCTCTGAAGTATTTCAGAAATTCCATTCAAATCATGCTTTTCAGTAGAGGCCTGGTGTGAATCCGCCGGAGGGGCACAGGTACAGCATCCTACAGCATCGGTGGGACTAGGTGGGACTAGCTAAGCCCCACATGTGGATACCTGCGCTCCAGGGGATACACAGGCTTTTAGAACACTAGAGCTTCGGAGATGCAGACTGAATACAAGTATCAAAAAGAGGCCAACTATGCAAGAAAAAAACACTACCCCTTGAAAGAGTTAGCAAAGAAAGTGGAACAAGAGGCATTTTAGATGTCTACTAAGTAAGCCCAAACTTGTGACTTTCTAACTCTGAAACTAGCTACTGAGTGGTGGCTAAAATCCCAATCTTAAGAAATCGAATGCCACCTATTTTGGACGGTTTCAGACAACCGGAGCGGTACAGCCAACAGGCAGGCCCGTTCCGGCTCCCGCCAAGCGCGGTCGGCTCCAAGACGGAGCCCGACGGAGTTCACCCCCGGTGACCTGTCCAGAGCTCCTCTCTCTGCAGTCGGCACTCTGCAATTATCCTCAACCTGGCTTCGGGTGCTCCAGGGGGGAAGCGAGTGCACCGGGCGGGGGGAAGCGGGCGTCTCGGCGCAGTGCCCAGGGAGCCCGAGCCGGGCCGGCGGGCCACGGCAGGGCCTCCGCGCGGCCCCCGCCCGGCCCCGCCACCCGGGCCGCGCACCTTCATGAACTCGTCCTTGTCGAAGCACAGCGCGTCCGGCCCGGTGGGCAGGCTCATCCCGCGCCTCTCCATCCTGCCGACCCCTCAGCACAAAGTCCGACCGGACTGCGCAGGCGGACACGGCGGCCCGCCCCTTCGCGTGGCTCACTTCCGCCAATATGGCGGCGCCGCGGGCGGCTGCACACGGCCGGCGCCAAGAGCGGCGCGGAGCAACGGGTGCTTCCGGGCGGTGCTGTCCCCGGCGGCGGAGGACGGCACTGCAGCCTCGCGCTCGCCCGGGAAGGCGCCTCCCCTACGACAGGTCCGCCCAGCGGCGGCTGGGTTGCAGCTTAACAGGCTGGACCCGGCTCTGCGGCGCGGTGTCCACCCGGCAGGGGCCCGAGTGCATCCGTCCTACTCGCAGGTGGCGTGTGGCCGCGCCCGCGAGCCCCTATCCGCCACCGGGAAGGCGGGCGTTCGCACCTCCTCACCGCGAAGGGGCGCCGCCCATAGTGGACTCCCGGAGGAGCTCCACAGCGACAGCGGTGCCCCAAGGCTCCCCAGCCCGTGAGGTTGTGGGCACGGGGAAACACACGTTTAACGTTGGGTTTACTAGTGAGAAAATCTTCAGCCACATGCAGGTCTGGAATGTATGTTAGAGCAGACCCCAAATATCACATTGTTTCCTACTCCCCAAGCTCATGTTGGAAAAACACAACATTACTAACTCAAAATGCCATTATCATCACAGAGTGAGAAACTGATGTGACTCCATTTTTGTAAATAAATAACAGCAGCTTCTTCCTCAAGGTCTGTCCTAAGGAAGGAGGCGTGACCCCTGTCCTTGGAAACACTCACTGAGTCTTTCTAGGCAGATAACCACCCTGCTGAGTAGTTTGTCTGCAAATAACAGGAGACATCTGTGGCACCAGGTGTCCCTGACTCAGGCTAGGTGAAGACCCATAGCAACCCCCTAGCAACCACCAATCAGCATGAGATGGGGAAAATCCCTAGGATGCCAGATGACCCCCCACCCCCAAGTAGTTTATAGTGGTTGATAACATGTTGGGAAACCATGTAGTTTAGCACGTAGGTACACCTCTCATGGCCTAAACCAATCAGTTAAAACCAATCCCCCTCTTTTACTAACCAATCACCCCTACCCAAATTGCTCCCACCAGTGAACATGCTGATCGATGTTAAGAGTTGTTGTTTGACTTTCCCGCGGTATGGAATGATTTGCTGTGTGATGTTGTGACGCATAGAGTATCCCCCCAAAACCTATAAAATCTCACTGAACAAAGGACCAGAACTCACTCCCTGGGACCACTGCATCTGGAATGGTTGTGAGTCCAGGCTCGAGCTTGCAATAAAGACTCTTGTGTGATTACAGCGGATTTGGCTCCTGGAGTTCTATTGGGGTCCCACAAATCTGGCATTACAAGAGGACTGTTGCTCCTGTTGGATAGAAATCACCGGTAGATTACGTGCAGCTCCCCAAGTGCTAGCTGCCCTGCTTGGAGTACCAGCAGCTCTCAGCTCTGGGTGTTTGCAGCCCTCCTTGCTGTTCCTCTGACAGCTCTTTCAGCTCCGGAGCTAGTGGCTCCTGTCTCCATCACTCCCAGCCATTACAGCTGCTGGCTGCCCTCAATGCTACAGCCCCGGGTGGCAGTCACTTCATTGCTACCAGTTCTTAGTGCAACCAGAACAGCCTGCTCAACTCAAGCTAAAAATCTCAAATAGGCAAAAAAAAAAAAAAAAGAAAGAAGCTTAAGTGGGGTTCACGGTTCAGCACAAGGGGAAGCAGCATAGTGGAAAGAGGAGGCTGCTTATACAGACAAAAAAGGCCGGCTCAAACATGCGCAGTGTCCTGCAACTGCAGCAGACCTGCTCAGTCATAGGTTCCTCTCAGTCAGATTGGGGACAGCTAAGGGGCTGCAGAGGGACAGAGTCACCCAGAGAAGCTATGGGTATAGTTACAGGGGATAGATTTGGACAGAAATTGCCAGAGCCAAAGCTAGTCAGTGACCATGTGGTGTTTGATGTGGCTGTGGCTGTGAGGTGTTTGGGGGCAGCCATAGTAGAAAATAAATTTAAAGTGCCTCTTGGGGAGCATTGGGCCTCTCTATATCACTAACAAAATCAGCAGTTCTAATGACCAATCTTGACTGACCCTGGGAGGCTTACCCGTTAACACAGTCACACTATTGGTGGGAGGTGACTTTTAAACACAGGCAGCCTGTACCAGTGCCAAGGGAGGGGAGAGCATGCAGGGAATACCCAGCATGGCTCTGTTGGAATCTCAGTGAGCTAGAACTTGCACTCCTTCCGCTTTCGTCATTCCCTTCTGATAGAGTCCCCAAGCCTTTAGCAAACAAATGACCTTAAGTGTATACAGCCTTGTGTGCTAATCCTGAGAGACCTGAGGGGACGAGGTACACAGGGCAATGGGGGCTCTCTGCTGCCCACTCTCCTCTCAAGACTCAGTAGGGAGCAACCACAGGCCATGACCATGACAGCGCACCATAGATGGGGCAGAAGGAAAGATCTTGCTGCTGGTGGAGTACCCTAGTGAAGATAAAGGAAACAGAGAGGAAGCCAAACCCTGCCCAGAGGACATGGCTCCACATCCACTCAGCACCTCTATTCAGCTGGCACAATCATTTCTGCTGTGAAGATTGGTAAACAACAGCTCCTCAAAGGTTGTCGAACAGCCTGTCTGCAGCCTGCTGAGTGCCCTCTGCTGCCCTAACCACATGCAGCCTTTGACCCAGCCCTGGAGGGTCCTGCAGGCTTCCAGGTACCCAGTGCATATGCTGTTAGGAGTTTGTCTATCGTTGGGTGTTTGAGCACCATCTCTAGCAACAACGCCTATTGCACAGTGTCTGTAGGAGGAGTGAACCAGAACATGCATGTAAAGTACCTGATCAGTAAGACAAAATAAGCCACCTGCACCCTGGCTTTCTTCCCCTGTGATCTATACCTTTGTTCACCATTTTCCCCTTCATATTCTCCTTTCTTTATAAAGCATGCACCTGCTACTTCATTTCTAAGTAAATATTAACCCCCTTTGACTTTGCATCTTTAGAAAATTCTTAGTTCCCTCTTTTCATTGTGACAGGTCTCATTTTTTTCTTCCCACACTCACCTATCTATAGGCCCTGCATTTGGGGCAGGTTTTCTACTAAACACTAAAAAAAATGCAGAGAAATCTCATGCTCTGGAAACTCGCATGGGCATTTTCTGTTCACCATCCTCTGTTCTCATTCCAACCCTCACTTGTTTCCTGACTGTACAAGAGTCAGCTCTTGGAGTCTCCCTCTGTAATATATTACTGGTTCCCTTGTCAATGTGTTAAGTAAAATTTTTACAAGCATCTCTTACATTTGAATGAAAGTCCTCGTTTAAACAAATTACCTTTTAGCAGCATTTCAAATAATAAACTATGATGAGATTCTAGTAAGTGAACATGCAGAGAGATCAAATTGGAGTGGATTTCTATATGGCCAGCACTATATTGGGAGCTAAAGTGAATGAGGCACAAGGCCTGTCCTCTTGAAGCCAGATTTAAAGATAGGTAGTTAGTGTAGTCAGGTAAATCTGGTCTAATATCCAGTATGATAAAGAATGGAGTAAAGAAGATGGAGTCCGATCTGAGCTGGATAACCAGAACAACATCAGGGGAAACTGAAATGTTAATGTCCCCAAGTCCCCAACCCATCCTAAAGAACTGTTAATGAAGTAGCTCCCAGCAAACTGGAAGGTGCTAATCAAACCACCCCAGGCCCTTCCTGCCCAGATTATGCTTCTCTGCCCCATCAATCCACCTATCTCCCACCTTTTGGCCTTCCCACCTACATTCTATCACTGCAGGATAGAGGGAAACAAATGACAGGAATGTGTGGGGACTAAAAGAAAACCTTTGTGTAAAAAAGGGAAGACCTGCCCCTGCCGCAGTCTGGCTGGGCACAAATCACGAGCCACTGAAGCAGGAACAAACTTTATTTTTGAACTGCAGGAAAACACTTCACACAGCTCCCGGGGAATCCTCCCAAAGGCCACTCGGCTGGTCCAGGAACCCCCCAGCCGGAAATATCTCTCCCGGAAATCCCTCCTCCTGCACTTCCCCAACCAATGGGAACTCTGGGGGAATCCCCGGAAATCCCCATGAGAACTCCAAAATAGTGCGAGAACTCAAAGGTTGCGGCAGAGGCGGATAGTAATGCCTCGCCTGTCAATCAATACTGTTGGCAAAATGCCAGGGGCCATACAGACTCGGCAGTGGCTCTCAGCATGCCCCTTTTCAGGATTCCACCTTTTGGGTCCCTTTCTTCCTCTGGGGAGAAGTCTTTTCTGCTATACTTTAATAAAGCCTTCCACTTTCCACTCTACACTTGCCTCAGCATGCTTCTATGGTGTTATATTTCAGCATTTGGGGAAGCAAGGTCTCCTCGCAACAGCGGCAACACTCTGACCCTGAGGAACTCTGAACCTGCGCAGAGGCAAGACTGCACAGATAGCAGCATGTGATGCCTTTACCAATGGAGTTGGCTCCACCTGCTGCCAACAGAGCTCCTTGTATGCCCACTGCATGCTTCCCCTGCCCCCAGACCCAGGTCACCTGCCATTTCCCTTGGATGTCCTGCTGGCATCTCCAATTCCACACATTGAAAAGTCAACTCATGGGGCTGGGATTGTGGCCCAGCGGTAGAGCGCTTGCCTAGCATGGGCGGGACCGGGGTTCGATCCTCAGCACCACATAAAAATAAAGGCATTGTGCTATGTCCATCTATACCTAAAAAATAAATATATATTTTAAATTTAAAAAAAAAGACAAAGAAAAGTCAACTCATCATCTTTGCTAAAGAATCTGCTTACCTTCCTACATTCTGCTTCTGGACAAGTAGCTCCACCAAATGCCAGCTGCTTATGCCAGAAAGCTAGGGCTGAGTCACCCACCTGAGACACCTGTTGCACTTTAAAACAGTTGACCACAAACAGTTGACCAGATGGTACTCTGCACCACCACAGACTCCCATGTCTCTCCCTCAAATGGAGATGACCATTTCACATGTCCCAGCCTGCCTCCCACCCACCACATCCCATCCTTAAAACACCCCTCCTCTCTGCTCACTCTCTGG